TTTGCCGACGTCTTGGGCATGAAACTTCCTCTTGTTGCTCGGGGTTCCCATTTTTTTTTTTTTTTTTTTTTTTTTTGAAGCCGCCGGCACTTGGGGCTTTATTGTTGGCATTGTCTAACATCTTTAGCCAGTTGTCTTTTTTTTTTCATGCCGGCCTGCCACTAAAAAGCGGTTATTTACTCTGCCACAGGCTCTTCAGCTTTGCCTCGGCTTGTCGCACACTTTTCACTTCCAGCTTTTCCCCCTTGGATCCTTTGGATCCTTTGGGTTTTGGATGTGTAGCACCCATAGCCCCCTTTCCTTTCCTTTCCTTTCTTTTTTTTTTTTTTTTTTTGCACGTTTGTGTGAGAGTGTGTCGTCTACTTAACACAATAAACACTCAATTTTCGAGCATGTTTTGTTTGGGATTTTGCCTTTAACTATAGCTGGAAACTTTGCTTAGAAGCCCGCAACTGTTTGCCCAGTCGGTGAGGAACTTTCTGCTTCTGCTTCTGATTCTGTTCACTTTTCTGGCCTATAAATATATATACGAATATATATATATCCCAAGATTGTCAATTGTGGACTGTGTGGCTGGTGGAGCTTCGCCCTCGGTTTTGATTTGTTTTCAATTGCTTGGCTACTCAGAAGGAGAAAAGTTTTGCGAGAATAATCCGAAATAAGTTGACACCAAGTTTGATTTGCTTTGGATTGCTTGATTTAGCTTTTGCCTTCTCTGCATCATTGAATTTATCACCCGCGAGTAAATTAAAAAATAATTATGTTTCCTAAGAGCCAGAAAAGCAATTTGGAACTTATTACAATGGCAGTTTAAAGTTTTAAACAGGGAGATTTAAATAAAAATTTAATAGTTATGTAGGAATATTGTACTTTAGCATGCTTTATTGTATTGATGTTTTGTTTGTAAAGCAACCAAGAAATTAAACAAAATTCTTTTAAACAATGTATTTGCTCTGCTGAACATTTCATTAGTTCAGTTTCTGGCCCTTCAGAATTTAAAGCAAAATCAAAATATTTGTTAGCCATACATAAAGTTTGCTTTCCTACAATTTAATCATATTTTCAACTCTTTTGCCATGTCAGTTCACACTTTGTGTCGGTCGGACTGGGGTCTAAATTTTCCGGATCTGCTGCTTTTGCTGACCAATGGAAAATGGTATTTTAACTTGCCTCTGGCAAAAAGGAGGCCCCTCCAGAAATCCTTGAACGGAGGACGACGACGACGACCAACCACAACATTTCTTATCAATCTTAAAAATGCATGAATAATTAAAATATGCAAATTTATGCTTTGTGGCCAGTAGTCATTGTTGTTGTTGTTGTTGTTGCTGCTGTCGTTTCTGTTGGCGGTGACTTTAAAGCCAAAAAGTAGTCGAGTTTGCTTAAAGCATTTCGCTCGGAAATGTTTGCCCATGTCCAACAGCAACACCTTCTTTGAGTGACATTCATCTTGTGCGTATCGCCGACCCCTGTAAACAAAGTATTTCCATCTCTTTGACCATAGACAAAAGAGGCACAAAAAAATAAAGGAAAAGAGGAGAGGAAAACCAAAAAGCAGGGTGTGAAAATGCGCCTTTTCAAACGGACTCGATAAGGCGCAAAATACCTGAGAATCTGTGAATCCCGGCGGATTTCATTCATTCATTCCGTTGGCGGGTCAGTGGCACCTAAAAAAGCAGACGAGATGCAAATAAGGCGCCTTTGTGCCGGCTAATGATGTTTATCATTCGCAAGGAACACATACGCTTACACTCCACATGAAAGAAGGTACTTTCCATTCCTTTCCTTCCTTTTTTTTGTTAGCTAATTCATTAAAAAGCCTCGACGAGATCAACAAAGGTGATGCCGTCGTCTAGTCAGCTTTCAGCTTTTATTCTTCCTCAAACATTTAGCCTTGTACACTTTTTACACTTAGAGACGATGGCTTAATTGAAATGTGTGAAAATGTCACACGATGATGCTGATGATGATGCTGCTGCTTTTGGCTTTTTAATAAATCCCCCCCCCAGTCTTCTTCTACTCTCATCATCATCATCAGTTTTTGGCCACGCACTGGCGCCTCTAACATTTTGCTGGCCATCCATGCGTTCTATACTTTTGGCCAACACACATTTTCGCCTCTGCTCACTTTCGCTCTAATGCTGTAAATTAAGTGTTGGCCAGCTTTTCCATGGCATTTTACCCAAAAATGTTGCAGTTCACACACATGGCAAAACACTAACAACAACAACAGCAACAAAGGACCAGCTTCAGTGTTAAGTGTGAACTGTTGTTTGTGGATTTTTCGGGTGGCACTTGTCGTCGAGCTGCGAGCACAGGCTGTGCAATTTTTGTCACATAATGAAAGGTTTTCAAAGTGTTTTCCAGTGGGTGGATCGGAACGGAACGGCGTCCCATGAAATTGCATTAGAGTCTGTCGATAGCAGGGCTATCTATACCGATTTTGTACTATATAGTGTGCTAATCAGACAGACAGCCCATTTGCGGTCTCTTTAGCTTTAAATTCGATTGTGTATCCATTTATGGGAATAAATCTAATTTTGGCTTTTCAATTGATTTTATATTTATTGCAGTACTTTTAAACATCACACAATAATATAGTATTAAATTAAATAAAAGTCTGAAACTATTCAATATTTTTGCTTAAAATTTATACCATTCATCTTCTATTCTTTTTTTTTTTTTTTGGTAAACCCTTAGAAATTCGATTGCTGGATTTTCCAAATTTGACCAACTCTGATTGGCTTTTCAGTGATTTTCCATATGCAAACACTCACTGTTCTCCTCTCAGAAATTTGGCAAACTGAACAATTTCGAAAGAGGATTTGTTCCCTCCATTATTTTTTCATTTTTACTACACGCTTAGTCGAACTTTTGTCATTGCTTGCACTCATGCATATTTGCCTGCCAAATAGAATGCACGTTTTTTATATTGTTTAATAGAAATGCTGGGGTTTTATTTGTTAATTCTGGCCCAGTTTCATTATTTTCCATTTGCGCCTGTACTCTATTTTTTTTTTGTGTTTCGGCGACTCTGTGTGTTTGTTTCGTTATGCATTTGCGAGGAAGTGACACTGCAATAATAAATAAAAAGCAACGAAACAAACGGCGGAACGCGAAAAGGAAAGGGTTGATGTGATGTGGAAAATGACTGAAAATGGCAACAGACAATATGGGATAAAGGGCTGAAAAGGGTTGAATGAAAGGACATCAGGACATCGGGACATCGTGATGTGTGGATGATGATGATTGTGATGATGACGGCAACGTCAAATGTCAACATCAATGCTGTTACTGTTGCTGCTGTTGTTTATTCTTTTTGCTACTGTAGTTTTGCATTTTATGCCTTTGTGCAAAGCATATATACCATATATACATATGTACATATTCACAGGGAACCGCATTTTTGTCTCTGTGTTAAAATTTTAATTTCACGCTGAAAAACACAGAGTGCGAGACAGAATCCAGCAGCCAGGATTCCGTGGCACTACAACTAAGTGAGGGGCAAGACATTTGGCCAGGATATTCGTTGGATGAGCAGAAGGCCAAAAGGGAGGAGGTGGGGAGGGGAGAGGGGAGAGGGGAGAAGCAGTTAACAGAGACGACAGGCCAGAGCAAAAACAACCGACTGCAACTAACTTCTGGGTGGCCGTTTATTGTGGATTTTGTCGCTGTTAAATGTTTCAGTAAATGCCAAAAAACTGGCTTAGAAAAGTCAAAGGGGGTTGCAACAAAGTTGGCATACTCTTGCACAAAAATGTTTCAGTTTTCTTTTGACAGATGGAATTCCATATAAGTTAACCGAAGATAAAAAACAAAGTATTAAAGCTTGCTAAATATAATATATTTAAAAAACCTTAAAATAATATCAAACATGATTATTAGGCTCATGTTTAAAAACATTATTGTATGTTGAGTCTTTCATTATATTTTTTTTTTTTTTTTTTGGAAAGAAATATTATTCTCATAATTTAATAATATTAATAATAGTTTGATTTGCTTTGATGAGTTTAAAATACACTTATGAATAGAGTATGAGATCCGCAAGCAACAGTCGGCAGATGGAATGCAATGGCAGCTGGTGTGGCAGCTGGAATCATCCGCATCCGCTTGCTCCTCATCTGCATCTGCATCCGCATCCTGATCCCCAACCCCCTTTTCCCCTCTCCCTCTTTAACCCCTTTCGAGTACCCATCCCCACACACCCCCTTCTCATTTTCCATGGCTCCGTTTTTGCCAATTGCCATGGCCGCCGACGGATTTAATTGGAAAATGTAAATGAGCTTTGTTCATTTGAAAGATGCAGTTGGGAGGAGCAGATGACAGTCGCAGCCGGGGCCACTTGACAGCCACCGCGAGAGTTTTCTTTAAGCTTGTCGCAGAAGGCAAGAGAACAAAAAAAAAAAAAGAGAAAACAACAAAAAGAATAAAATAAAATAAAAATGGGTTTTCCCGAGGAATAGAGTGGGGTTGTTGTTGGGTGATGGGTGGTGAAAAAAACAGAACTGAAATTCCCTTAAAGCCGGCAAAGTGCTGCAACAAAGGAAATGTCACCGAGAGTCGGGGTAAACGCTGACCTCACACAAATACTTATATGCAAACTGCGTGTGTGTGTGGGTGGGAGTGTGGGAACGCCATTGTTTGACTTACAAAATGGCGTAGAAAGCGCCAACAAAAGCAACTGACGACGCAGCCAAGCTTTTCACACACAAAACAATAATAAAAAAAAAGGGAGAACTGGGAAAAAAAAGTAGCAGAAAACGGCAACTTCCGTATATATAAAAGAGTCGTGTAAAACAATACTTTTGCTCATGTGTGTGTGTGGTGTGTCTGTATGTGTGTGTGCCGCCATATTGTTTGTCCAAAACTCCTAGGCGTCCTGGTCCTACGACCCGCACTCCTTGAAAACCGGGCATATGAGCATTTTTCGCTCGCTACTTGTGTTTCGCAACATAATAATTTTTAACCCTTTGTTATTCGCGACTTTCCCTTCGTTTCAGGCGATAAAACACCCGCAGGCTTTCCGGTTATAACGCAGGGTCCAGGCACTCGCGTCATTGAAGTGGGTCACACGGTCCTCATGACATGCAAAGCCATCGGCAATCCGACGCCGAACATTTACTGGATTAAGAACCAGACAAAGGTTGATATGAGCAATCCCCGCTACTCACTTAAAGACGGTAAGTTCAACTATTTCTTTGTTTTATTAAGCCATAAATATTATTGAGGGATTAACAATGAATGAATCTGTAAATCTGTGAATCTGAAAGTTTAAAGAAGGGTTTTCTTTAGTTATTATTAAATTTTAACAACAAAAATGTGCTTCTTGATTTTAAACATAATTTTTGTATGAGTAATTAGTACTGCTTTTATTGGTACAAAATTGCTAACTCTAAAAAGCACAACAACTGTTTTGAGAACATACCATTTTCCCTATGAACGCTGATTAGGTATTAATATCAACTACCCTAGGAAAAAACAAAATGGTTATTGCAAATGTTAGCCTTAGGTATTATTTATTAAAAAAATTCTATTGAAAAATTTATTATTTTCCTGCTTTTGTGAACTGAGAAGCCCAGCTAAGCCATTGAAATTTCAAGTACATAACCGGGCTTTATTTATCTTCCATCTGCCTTATATTACATTACATTTTGTCCGTTCGGGAGGTTCGATGGCGAAATGACTTCATTTATTAAAATTCTAGTCCCAGACTCGGGATTCGCTACCTTTTCGAGCGGGTTCCATCTGCTTTATTTTTTTTCCAGCTGTTTTTCTCCTTACGCTCATTTGAATTTCTTAGGAATTTACTTACGCTTCGACGCACTTTGTGTCGCAAGTTTTTCGGGCGCTTAGTTAACGTTTGACTTTTGTCAGGTGGAGCCAACAGAACAGAAGGCAGGCTGCCCAGCCAAGTTTGTCCTTTGAACCGGAGGTGGGAGTCCTTTCTCCAGCTCTCTCTCTCTCTTTCTCTCTCTTGAAAACTTTCCGAATGTCAACAAAGTGTCGGCGGGTCCTTTAATCAGGCGTCGCAGCATTCGCAGCATTTGATAATTATATGTTCAATGTCAGGTCGCATCGTTAGCGCCGATCTGTGACACATCAAAGCGGGGATGGACTAAAAAGTGGACGCAAAACTAGCACAAAAGCTGTCATCTGCAGAAGTCTGAGGGACAGAGCCTCAGGTCATTAGAGGCTTAAATATTGACATTAATATTGACATTAATATGCATTAAAGAGTGCCTTTTAAAACGACATCAATAATGGTCACGTTGACAACCGAAAAAGGGTGGGGAAAATCGGCGGACTGGCTGGCGGGCATTATTTCAATTGCCAGGACACGCGGAGATCGAACAAATGTTTTCCAGCGGGCCAGCAGGACATCCACCTAGTCGGTCCTTTAACAATTGGAACGTGTTGGGCATGGCAAGAAAACAGCGACGTTAACAAAAACATTATGCGATGTCCTCGCCGCTGGTCCTCTGATCCGGAGGATCCCCGCCTCCTGTTCCCCCGCCCCTCAGTTACCCCACCTCAATGCTAATGAAATGGTCGCTTACGCGTAATGAGAGCCTGCCAAACAATTGAGTGCCCTCCATTGGAGGTCCTTTCCATGCAGCGGCTGACTTTCAAATGCCCTGAGATTATCTGGGGCTCTTTTATATGGTATATGCTGCTGGAAGGACATGTTGAAAAAGATTATCTCTGAACGGGAGATAGGAAAAGGTCGGAACACCTTCGGAGATTACGATTCATTTGCTTTTTAATTTTCTTAAAGTGCCTGTTTTGTAAACAGACTCCAAAAAAAAGCGCTGAGTATATAAAAATATATTAAAAGCTATTATGTAAAAATATTTTTAACAGCTTTAAAAAACAGCTAATAGATGAATGATATGGATACTATAACTAAGTATAACTACCAACCTCTGTTGTATATTAATTCCATTAAAATTGGTAGACTTTTAAAACGATTTCCATCATTCCCTTTAAACAAATTAGATTGTTTAAGGTTTCCCCCGATTCCTTTGCCTGCAAACCATTTGAAACGCTAACCAAACCAAACTATCCATCGCCTTTTGTTGGCCTACAGCGATGCAAATTAAAAACTGTTACATGTATTTCCCCAAGGTGAAATTATTTTTACCGCTCCAACGATGAGCCTCCATGCAAACATAGTCCAGTCCTTATTTGTTGGATTCTGTTCTATGTTCTCCATTTTTTTCTGTTTTTTTTCTTGCTTTTTGGTTTTTGTTTTTGCCCGCTTTTCACGGATGTGGAGGTCGACTAATTTAGCGCAACACGAACCAAAGTGGCCGTGTTCGCTTGTGGATAAAGTAGAAGGAGCGGTTTTTGCGGGTTAAATTAGTTTTACGTGGGCCGAGTAACTTTTTTTTCTCCCCAACCCCCCAAATCCATCCCCTTTTCCTTTCCCATGTTGCCAGAAAAGGTGAGGAATGGAGAAGGAGAAGGGAGACTGGAGAAAACCAGACTGGCACCATCTTTGCCGCGTTAAACGAAACGTAAAAGTATTTCCGCCAGCTAAATATCCTTTTGGGTGCCCTAAACGTCCGAAGCGAAACCCCCTTCCCTCTCTCCCAAAAATTTCGCATCCCTTTGCCGCCTTAAAGCGCGTTTTAAATTTATGAAAATAAATATATCGCCCGAGGTGAGGTCCTCTTTGCTCTATTGTAGAGAATCCTGGGGATCCTGGGCATCCTGGTGGGTCTGCATTCGCAATGACGCCGAACCAAAAGAGAATATATACATATTTCGCATAATAAGTTATGCAAGTCATGTGCCGTTTTATTCAATTAGCACTTTATGGTCCTTTATTGTACCACTCCTTGCCCCCCAAGATCCTTTTCGCCCCCTCGACGCGTTGATTTTTCGGTTATACGGCCGCCGCCTGCTAATTAGAGCCTGTAGGGATACCAAATTGTGGAAGGAGATTGCGAAGGAGATGGCGATGGAGGTCCTTTTTCGTTTGGGGGTACGTGAGTTATCAAATGAAAAGTAACTCGGCGGCAGTCGTACTTCATTTTGTTCGCGCCATAATTAAATTAGAACTTTATTATTTTAATAAAACCGTCTCGAGAGCCCCGAAGGACCTTATGGCGCTCCATTCCGCCGCCATTCCCTTTGTCGCACACCCAATCGCCTTAGCTGGATATATTAATGTGATTATTATACACTCCTCTTTGCCACTTGGCCTCCGGCCAGTCCGAAATTCGCCAAAGAATGCCAAGCAATGGTCGAAAGAAGGAATTATATAGAGAAGCGGAAAGGCTGCGGAAAAAATCATAAAAATATTAAACGAAACTACAGCAAGCAGTCAGTGTCTTTAAAATATATATTTTATATTTTCAACCCTGAGTTTTGATGTATTCGCTGATTTATTTCACTCCTTGCGACTTCAATATCTTCCACTTGAGCGTGTGGCAAAGGCAAATGACAGCGGTCGCACTTCACTGCGCAAACACATTTATAAATAATTTATTTAAAATTACTTCGAGGGGCATTTTCATACTCTCTGGCCCGCAGTTGGTAGTTAATTTAGTCCCCCGATCCGAAAAGAGGTCAAAGGGCAGGCATCCCAATAGAACGAAGGAGTAGAACGACCAGCGACAATATTATTGAGTATTATACCTTTATTTTTATTTCGCCAAATAGTCCCGCTGGGCTTTTGTTCAATAAAAAGCATAACGGAAGGAATAAAAAAAAAAAAGCCTTTGCCGTAGTGACCACGGTTTTTCCCTGTTTTCCTTTTTGTTTCCCCCGCGCTCGGCTTTTTTTTTTTTTTTTTGAAAAGGTTCTGGCGCAGCGTCTGGGGAAATTACTTTCTTAGGGTCGGAATTCTCATTGGCGAAAAAGGGAAAGGAGTTGCAGAAAAATGTTGGGCTTTTTCAAATATCATAATTTGGCTTTTAAGCAAAAGAGGCTTATCAGAAATTGGTTTCGCCAGAGCCAATTGTCTTAATGGGTTGTGTGTGTGAGCAGATGAACTCAACTGAATTGAAGTGTCAACGGAGGGAGCAATATCGAGACGATAATGGTTTCCTTTTCCCGATCAGGTGCCATTCGAAATTGTACTTGACAGAATTTAATGCGAAGTTTGGGCATAGACATTTTATTTCAATTTTCTTTGATTGTTGTTTGAATGGAAAGTCAAATACTTAGAACTACTTGCTAAGATTTCTTCTTGAAATTATTTATCTTAAAATAATCTAAAGGGAAGTTTTCCTGTATTGTTGCTTGAATAGAAACTCAAATACTTACTTCTATTTGCTTAGATTTCTTCTAAACGAATTAAAAGAACCCCTTATAAACTATCTAACTTGAAATAGTCTCTAAAAATGTCCAACTCTTAATTTGCTTGCATTAATATTCCTCGTAAACCCTGACACACTTACTTAAGTGAATATAAACTGGTGGATCCTGTGAAGAGCAAGCAAAACATCATACTAAAACTCCAGTTAAAATTAAATACAACTTTCCTCAAGTGGATACTTAAGTTTTAACTAGCTGAATATTGAGTTGGATTGCTCGCGGGATTGCGGGGGGCGTAAAAGAGCGAATAGAGGCCATATAACTCGGCAGGTTAACCTTTATGTTTGAAACTTAAAAGCGACTCGAGACCCAAAGCGAATTTTGCCGAGGAGAGGAGAGGAGCGAATGGAGTGGAGCTCAGCTTGCTGTGCAACATCGTCTTATAATTTTATATGACATTTTTATGCCTTCTTTTGTTCGAAAACTTACACGTGCCATGGCGCCTTACAGCCCCTCCCCCTGCCACGCCCTCAGCTTGGAAAAAGGGGCAGCAGCTGTGACTATGATGGCCCCTCGACCTGCGAGTCGAGCTCCACAACTCTTTAATTGCTGGGCTCCATCATTACAATCGCCTTGCCACTTGACGTGACCAACCTGTGGGGCCAAAAGGAAAATGGGGAAAGAGGGAAAGGGGGTGGGGGAAAATGGTTAAGGGGGTCTGCACGCAATTATTTACTTGAGCCGTAAAACTGTAGTTAAGGCAAGTCAACTTGAAAGCATTTGGGGAAAAGTTTAATGCTTAAATTATGAGCTTCTCCTTGTCACTTGCTCTACAGCTCCAAAAGAGTTGACAGTCACTTTTGTTGAAAATGAGACAGTAATTGCCAAAATGTGCATGACTAGAACGGCTTTCTCCCAGCGGGGGCATGTCCTTTTCCCCCTTTCCCTACTTTCTCTCCTTTCTCTCAAGTGGAAAGTGGAAAGTGGGAAGCGGGTCCAGTTGGGTTTCTTTTGGGTTGACGATAAGTCGTCGTCACTTGCATTACCAAAATTGAAACTTTGCACACTTTTATGCGAGTGTGGAGAAAGGGGTGAAAGGGGGGGGTGAAAAGAAAGCAGACGGAGCAATGCCAGTCTACCCATAAATGTCACTTTGTAACGACGACAACGAGGACTACTTAAATTAAGGCATAATTAAATTAATAATCCCATTTGGGCGTGCAGCCAAGCATTTGAAGCCGAAGCCAAAGTCGAACCCAAAATCCTTGGCAACCAAAGTGTGAGCTTGTGTGCGTTTTCGTGGCGGCTGAGTTCATATAAAAGAACTACGCGAGTGAATGTGTGTATATATGTGTGTGTGTGTTTGAGCGGAAGTTGCAGAATATGAAAATGACTGCGATAGCGGAAGTGCAGCTGTGTGGCGTGCCACATGTGTGCCGCGTCCGAACTAGCGAAATCGCGCCACCAATGTCTTGCCACATTTACAGCGGCCACATAACCAGGTAAACGGATCGGGTGCAAGTTGGGTTTCTTGGCCAGAGTTTTCTTTCATCAACAATTATTTCACTCTTTTTGCCTTTGAAACGAACTAAACTGTGGTGCTTCAAGCTATTGGGTTACTTAATAGCTGAAGAAAATGTCAAAAACTTCTATAATTTCAACTTCTAATAAAGTATTTAACTCTTTGATTTATTTTATTTTGGTGCACTTAAAAACTAGAAAATTTTAGCAAATACAAGTCGCAAATGATTGACCAAAAATTTAGCAACATTTTTTGAAAAGAAAAGATTTTACTTGCCGATTGGTTTGCTGTTTCAAGCAGAAGAGTTTGTTTTGTTAGAAGTTAGTTTGCATCTGTTGGATGTTCTAATCTGTAGAAAAGAGCTTGAATGTTGAGTGTGATTTTGGTTTCACTTTAGTTGCAACAAAGCAATAGCAACAAAGCTATGAAGCTTAAGCTCATCGTTTTTAAGCAGTATTGCTAGTAAAACGAACTTTCTTGTTAAGAGGCTTTAAGGCCTAGGAAGAACTCCTAGGTCAAACCCCTTTTTTGTTGTTAAATAACATTTCTCGTAAAACATTCAACTGCTCAACGGCCGGTCTCCCTTGCTAGCCTGTCCATTTGTTTATATTTCTTTTTTATGACGCTTGAAAGAATTTTTAATTTTCATAAGAGTGGCACACGCACGCAGAGACAAGGCCAAAAAAGACGGGGAGAATGACTTACATTCGGGACAGAGAGACGAGTTCAGAGCGCCCAGATGTATGCTAGCTTAATTTTTATTGCTACAGCCATCCTGCACGCAAAGTGCTTCACCTCCTGTATGTGTGTGTGTGTCTGCCTGTGTGTCTGTATGTGTGCGGCTTACCTTAATGTTTTTGGCAGAAGGTTGCCAAGAGTTTTAATGAAACTTGCCTTCATAAATTTTAATCAACGTTTTTCACAGACGTTGTCTTTTTTTTTTTTTCTTTGTCGCTCATAATGCTTTATTTACTTTTTTAGAGCTTCACCTTAAATAATGTCAACATGGCTGGGGGGGCATATGAAAAAATATTTGTTTGGATCGCTGAACTACACATGTCAGCCGAAACGAAAGTGGTCGATTATTTATAAAAGTTGCAACATTTAATGGCCGTTTGAATGGTTGAGCGCATCCTAAACAATAGGCCGCATCCACATCAGGTTGCAGATATTGCCGGGGGCAGAGTCCTGGCTGCACAGGAAGTGCAACAAGCGTAATAAATGTTCAGCCATACCAGCCAAATAGTATGCAATAAATTTCGCAACAATCAACTTTGATGCATGTTGTAGGTGAGCGGCGTTACTGGCGAAAATACAGAAAAAAAGGCACAAAGCGCCTTTTTCGCCAGCAAAACAAAACATAAAACACAAATGCCAGCCAGCTTGCAATGTTCGCTGCCCTAAAAACCGCACAGCAATCTACCCAGCATACATCACTTTTAGCCAGTTTATTTTTTATTTCCCCCCCGCGTTCCCATCTCCTCTGTCTGGTTTTTTTTTTTGTTTAACACACAAAATGACAAGCATAATAAAACGGAAACGTACATCAAATAGACACAATAAACATGGCTTTAGTGCGAACCGAGCGATTTTGCAACATTTTAGTGCTGTTCGGTGTTTTTTGTTCAATATCCGCACTGCCTTTTTGGCGGAAAATATTTAAAAACTGTATCATTTTTCAAGATTTTTTTTTATTTACAGAGTAGTAAAATGTTGTAATACATACTTTTTAAAAATAAATAAAATGTTAACATAATTCTTTCATTTGTAGCTATTATTTGGTGAAACACTTATATTTTGTAGTCATTAAAATTATTCACTGAACTGTATTAAAGTTTACTCTTGTTTTTGTTTATTGATATGGTCTATTTGTTATTCTTTTTAATTGGTAAATGAACAACTCATTTTGTTTGCCATTTGTAACTCGGAGTTTATTACAAATAAAAGCGGACACAAAGTAATTAACTGCTTTGAAAAATCACTAATAAAGTTGAAAAGTTAAAGTAATGAGATTAAATTGGTACTTGAAACTATTGTAAACCTTAGATACAAATATTGTGTATATTTTTTTCGATGGCTCTACAAAATGTTAAGCTCGGTATCATATTAAAAGAAAATAAGATTTTGTAATTTAAGCTTTCCGCTTAAGCCAGATCAATACTGCTTGAATATGCACAAAATGCAGCAATAAATAATTAAACGATAATATTGCGTATGAAAAACTCGTGTTTCGCAAATTAATTGTCATATTTCATGCAGATTTTAAATTTGCTTACCTATATGCAATAACACTCACACCTACACACACACATACTCGTGTAATTGAGTGAGTATGTGTGCATATTGAATTGAGATGCTTGATTAATTGTATGGCAGAGAAAATTGAATATCGAACTCAATATGATTAATTTCGCATTACGCACACAGTAACACGACCATGGCACAGATTTTGGCGCTTAAACGCTTAGAAATTCACACGCTGTTAACGACCCTCTCACGCTTCATTTAAAATGCTAATATGATTTTCCAAAAAGTATGAAACGAATTTGCAAAATGAATCATAAACTAAGCAAAACAAATCATTGGCTTCCCCAAACTCGTACTATGTCTCTCTGAATTACCGTGTGAAATATTAGTTATTGGTCAATTAAAAAGCGCAATAACATCAATATTCCCGTCATGGCTTTATGGTTTTAACTAGAAACCGAAATGCCAATGGCTATTAGGCAAATTGTGCGCCGAATAAATATATATATATATATATATTTCATAACTGTTGATTTAAAAGCCACCAGAGCTTAGAAGGCAAAACCGGTGGAACAGAAGTGGATTTCGCATAAGCAAATATCATATTGTCTACTCATCGCTGCCTCGTGCATCATTGTTTATTAGCCATATAAATATTATGTCAAAGCCAAGGAGGTTTATGGCCTTCTCCCCGTCCAACCTCTAAATGTTTCCCCCGGTTTTCCTCGGTTTTCCGCCGTATGTGTCGTTCACATTAGCGTAATATGTCGGAAAAGCGGAAAAACGCCCGATATTTAATAGATGCGTGGCTTTTCTCTTTGGAGAGATTGCAACATTTTTTTGGGTGCTTGTTTCACTTTGTCGTAAAATTTATATGGCCTTTAAAATCATATAAAAAGTGTTAATTTTCCATGTGTTGCTCATCTGACATCCTGAACTGAAGTGAAGTGGAGTGAAGTGGATGGATTCGGTGCATAAAAGGAAGGTGAATCGAGAACCTTTTTATGGCGCAATGAGGATAATGTGGGTTGCCTATTAAAGTGATGTGAGATAAGCAAACATCATTTGACTTTCAAATTTATTGATAAATCTAAGATCTTACGACTCTGTTACGGTTAAGCCGAGGCCTCCGTGACCCAAATGGCGTCATAAAAGGGCGTAACAAGTAAGGGTTTTGCCAAATAAACATAAAAGTTGGTAAGCCTCTGAAAAACAAATGGGGAAACTAAGGTTTCCTAAGGTTCGAAACTAGCGAAGGCTGGGAACAATATATTCTAATATTTTCAGCTTATTTTATTGGTTTTTTTTTTTTTTTTTAGATATAGATAGAGTTAACAAATTTGCAAACTTTTATAGATTTGATGGCTTTCAAATTCCTCAAATGTATAAATTGAACCCAGTAAAAAAATGAAGGTAATTTAACTTATTGGGTTTTTATTTCTTAAGAAGTGTTTTTCGTCTTACTTATCGTATTCTAGCTTATTCTAATTTACCTTAAATATTATTTACATTGAAAATATAATTAATATTTGGATGAGGAACCTATTCAATGACAACCACACTCCTTGGCCACTGCTTTCTGGTACTTGGTGAGGTCGATGATGTCCTCGTTGATGTACCGCAGAATGGTGATGGCTCCGAGGACCGTGGGCACACAGCAGGGCTTGGGCAAATGGGGCTGCTTCAGGTGCATCAGGGTCTGGACGATGGCGTGATTGGTGGCATTCATCTTGGTGCCCAGCGGGAAGTTGCAACCGCCGCCGCAGAAGTAAGCCTCGAACTTTTTGGGCGCAATCACCCAGTTGTGCATCTGCAGCTCCTTGAAGTTCACGGTGAAGTTGAGGCGTTCGCAGGATTGAGGTGGTCGATACAAATCCACGGGTGGCGGTGGTGGATGAGGTTGGTTACTACCACCTGCCCCCTCCGCTTCTCCAAATCTCTCTTGAAACGAAGCTTCTGTATTTTGACCAAGAGCTCGGGCCCATTGAAGTAGCCCACAATGAAGGGTTCCAAATTGGAGCGACTCGATTGGGGAGCCACCAAACCAGCGGCAAAAGTGCTCAATTGGTAGTCGCCAACGGAGATCCTTAGCTCATTTCGCCGTGGTAAACCTTTATTTAGTAGCCATGTCCTCAAACTTTCGGTTAGATTGAACTCCAACCAACCTTGTTGACTGGATGTGGTATTTACGGAACCCAAAATGCGATACGAGAAATCCTGTCGGTTGTCCAATTTTCTGTAAACCGAAACCGTGAAGTTCTCTCTTCTGTCCACCAAACTGGGCTTTTTGTATATCCTCAGCATGGCCTGAACCAAACTCAGATCCACTGGCACATCGTTTGTATTAAAGGTAATGTGCATGTCCAGTTCGTTGTTGAGTTCCTCGGGCTTCAGTCGACTCGAAAAGGTCAGGATGCTATTGCAACTGGCAATCTCTTGTCGATCCTCTTCGGAAATGAGGATGTCATCGTTCAGCGAACGTTTGTGCCGCTGATGAAGGACCTCTTTGGGTTCCTGGTCCTCGCTAATCTCGTTGTATACTTCCAGCAGGAATTTCGAGGCGGAATTGTGCAGATTGGGATGCGCTTGTCGTCTCGGTCGGTCGCCCAAGTCCAGGATATCAATCATCTCCAATTGTTCGCTCAAAGGACGCTTTTGGTAGATGGGCAGCTCGACTTCGTTGTTGTTGGTCACATATGTGGTCGCGCCAACCAAAAATACAAGACATGATATAATCACTTGTCTTAACATGTTGTTTCCTTGGCAGGAGTCAGAATGGAACTGATTCGTATAGTCAAGAAACTCTTTGTTATATAGGTGAACAGGTAGGGAAATCAATACTTTTCAGGTAAATTTAAGACGCTGAAAGAGTTAATCCCTAGTGCTTTTATGATGCCAATTGGTAGGGTTTTAGTTATACCTATATAACCCTTTGGAATTAGGTAAAAGTTAAAAATGTAACAGCTGCTCTAGGTAAACCACAAATAAGTAAACTACCTAGATAAGATTTTGGGTGCTATCCAATCTGTCAGTTAAATATGTTCATTAATCCTTTCACAAGCTTACAATAAAGATCTTTAGAACTTAAAATCAAAAAAATAAATTAATAAATAAATTAATAAATAAATAATTCCATATTAATTAAAACCCTTTAATCTTCTGTATTTCAGGCTTCCTACAAATCGAAAACAGCCGCGAGGAGGATCAAGGCAAATACGAATGTGTGGCTGAGAATTCCATTGGCACAGAGCACTCGAAAGCCACGAATTTGTATGTGAAAGTCCGTCGTGTTCCGCCCACTTTCTCCCGCCCCCCAGAGACCATCAGTGAGGTGATGTTGGGCTCCAATCTGAATCTATCCTGTATTGCCGTTGGCTCACCCATGCCGCATGTCAAGTGGATGAAGGGTATGTGAATTAAAAAATACAATAAGAAATAGTAATTTAATATTTAATTTTATGTATAATATAGGCTCTGAAGATCTGACACCCGAGAATGAGATGCCTATAGGTCGAAATGTCTTGCAATTGATAAATATTCAAGAGAGCGCCAATTACACTTGCATAGCAGCCTCCACTTTGGGGCAAATTGATTCCGTTTCGGTGGTTAAAGTGCAATGTAAGTCTATAATAAATGTAAATGAATATATATATAATAAATAATAAATAATTATATTATTTAATAGCTCTTCCCACTGCACCCACCGATGTGCAAATATCCGAGGTGACCGCCACTTCGGTGCGTCTGGAGTGGTCTTACAAGGGTCCCGAGGACTTGCAGTACTACGTCATCCAGTACAAGCCGAAGAATGCCAACCAGGCCTTCAGCGAGATTAGCGGCATCATCACCATGTACTATGTGGTCCGTGCATTGAGTCCCTATACGGAGTACGAGTTCTACGTGATAGCCGTGAACAATATTGGACGTGGACCGCCATCGGCACCGGCGACTTGTACCACCGGTGAGACAAGTGAGTATTCCACACAGATGAGCTCCCGTTCGAGAAACATTAACCTAACTACCTCGTTTCTCCCCCTTAAAACGCTGCATAAAAAAGGATTTTTAACCAATTTCGCTTTGAATTTAGACTACGACTTTAAATCGCATTTTTATTATTTCGCTTTGGTCCATTATGCTTTGGCAATCGTACTAACCCTTCTCGAAAATGTCTATTTGTCCTTTCTCTCCATTTCCATCCACATGCTTATGCCTTCTCAGGCGATTTCTCATTCGGTGGCACAAGTAAGTATCCTTGGCAAACAAAATTTTATGGTTGGCCAAAAAAAATTGCCAAAACAATTTCAATAACAATTGTTTGAGCAGCGTACAAAATCCGACCCGAAAAATGTGAAAAGGGTATATATATGGAATAAAGAAAAAGAAAAAAAATAAAGTAAAAAGAAGTAAGGAAAGCGGAATAACAAGTAGCTAGATAGAATCAAAGGTAAATGCAATGTTAAAAAATCGTTGCATACGCAGCTGCGATCCGCAACCACGAGTCCTCCTCCTGGCGATATCCTGACGTATGTGAGGGAAGGGAAGGGGGAAGGTTTAAGTGGGGTTAAGAGGGGGTTGGGGGGGTATATATCCTCCCCCGTAACAACCCATAAAGTTTGCATTGTTATGCGTTCGTTTGGATGCGGATGGTTGTGTTTTTGGTGCATGCAACGCCGTTTTAGCCCTGGCAATTCCCGCGTAAGCGTGCGCTTGTCTGACATGTCTTTCCGGCCCCTTCTGCGTTTCCTTTGCCCTTTCAAAGGGTATGGTAATCGCACTCACTTATCCAAAGAAGTTCAGGATTCAAAATAAAAGATTTACATATCAAATACTCTTTAGAAATCAATTTTGAGGGAATTGCATATCATTTACATATCAAACTAACAATTCAAAAAGGATAATATTAAAAAAAGAAAGTTTTTCTACATAAATTAAAGATATTATTTATATTTAATATTACATCTCTTTAATACTGACTGCTTATTGCTTTCCCATGGAATCATTGCTTTAAAGTAGTGATACATTTTTAAGTGTATCCCATTTTCCACCTTAAACCCCTTGAAATTTCCTTTTGCCATACAAAGCAGCAGCTGCAATTGCAGTTTTACTAGCAGATCCAGGAGCGTGTCGTACGAAAGTTGAAAACTTTTATTGCCGCAATTATGCTTATCGCTTGCCCAATATCGTTTCGAAATAATATTTCGATAGCAACGTTTATGGGCGGTTCAAGGATAATTCTCCTGGGCCCGCAGACTGGCATCAGCAGGTCAAGAGGACTCTTAACACGTGTCACTGGCTTAGGTAGCAGCTGAGCCAAGTGGATAATCCGCAGCCTTCTTTATGGCCAGTAACGTAACAGTACAGCAAAGGAGAAGTACATTAACTAAATGGGGGAATTTCAAGGTGTGGGATCACCTTTGTGCCATCTTGTGCACCTGCGTCAAAAACTGCGACAGATTGCGGAATATTTAAAGTGTTTGATTGACTAAACCAACTACAACAATTGCCAGAATAATGGCCATGACAAAACAAATGACCAATTCGATATTTTACAACTATTTCAAAGCACCGAAAACATAAAAAACTATGGTATGAACAGAGGTAAAAAATTGACCACCTGAATACCAAAAATTACAAACATTTTGAGGTATTCCACTTTGGAATCGGAAAAAAAATAGTCCAAATGATGGGTTCTGGTTGCCCTGCTTTGGGGTCACCATTAGCATTGGGGTCAAAAATTGGACCACCTGGAAATGAAAAAATGCAGTTCATTTTAGATTCCAATTACAAACGTTTTGAGGTATACCACTTTGGAATCGGACAAAAATTGTCAAAGTTAAGGCATCTGGTTGCTCTGCTTGGGGTCACCTATTAGCATTTCGTCTGAAACTTGGAAAAATCTGACATGAACAAGGCTCAAAAAATTAAACCACCTCAAAACCGAAAATTTTAAATGCAGTTCGTTTAGGAATGCAATTACAAACGTTTATAAGTATGCCACTTTGAAATCGGACAAAAATTGTCAAAGTTAAGGCTTCTGGTTGCTCTGGTTGGGGTCACCTATTAGGACCACCTGAAAACGGAAAATTTTAAATGCAGTTTGTTTTAGAATTCAATTACAAACACTTTAAGATATGCCACTTTTAAATCGAATGTTTTGTGCTGTGAAAATGCAATTGGTTTTGTTGGAAGTTTGTATAAAATGTGAATTTGTACAATAAGAAATTAAACACTTTCCTTTGAATTTAATCAATTTGAGTTATTATTATTATTAGTAAAATAATATAATTCTCTTGCAAAATGTTTTGATAATTAAAATCTTCATGCAGATATCTAATTATCTAAAGATACAATTAAACAAAATAAACTCTTTAGCTTACCAATAATAATATTTCAGCGAATAAGTTTGCTTTGAAATGTTAGTGGAAATTATAATTTCACAGATGAAAATTGAATAATTTAATATTTATTGGTAATTGGTGCGTCCTATGGTAGTTGTATCTGAGAGTCAATTGAAAAGGCAAATACAACAGAGCTGTTAATTGGCAAAAGAAGCTACTGCTGCGTTTGGCAAACGTGCTCATTAATGTTTGAGAAACAGTTGGCCGAAACAGTTTGTGGAAACTGTTTTGCGAGATTCGGGGGGCCAGTGGTAATCAAAAGCCACATTTTAAGTGGGGCCTGGTCGCCTTGAACGAGTCCTCGGCATATCCTTTCGTCAAGTAATCAGATATATGGCCTGCACATGCTCCTCCTGCCCGGCACATCCTTTCGCTTCGAAGGTTGGAAGGATTGGAGGATCAGAGGGATGGAGGGATGGATGGACGAGGAGGAGGAGGCCAACGATTTAGTGCTATGTGCTGGTGCTCTAAGGAGTAGGCGTGTGCGCAGGCATGCAAGGATACATATTAATGGAGCGTATCCGTATGTAATGTATATGCCCTTAAATGCAGCTTACGTGATGCTCCTCCACTCGCAGCGTTCCCCCTCTCCCCAAATCCACACATACACACACACACACACACACTTACACACACACACTCATACAGAGAGAAACTCCTGCGAAGGCTAAGAGGAAATTTTTGCCCCGAATCTATCGGTGAATCGTTGTGTGCGAGCTGCATGCAAATCTTGGCTATAACAAGCAATGGACCAGGCCAACACACACCTATACACACACCGCCACACACACACACATTAACAGTGGGGGAGCACTTGGGTAACAGATGAGATGACTGCGATATAAATTGTGGATAAAACTGCTGCTGCACCGTTTGTGGATATTGCAGTAAAATTGTGAGAAATTGGAATTTATTGATTGCCCATTAACCAATCGGTTTACGAATCGCTTTACACGCACACCCACCCATACACACACACACACACATAAGAAAAATTGAGTGATAGTGTTCTATCTCCTTCGCTAATTGCAATTCATGGTTTGCGATGGTGTGCGTGGATTTTTGAGACCGTGATTTTGCGGCTGTCAATGCAGTTGACCGACAAATTTTTGAATGGTGGAAATGCATGACGAATGGCCAGCTAGATTCATGCTTTCCCGTCCAAATCATTGTATATTTCGAGGCCAGGCTGGCAACGGCACACAAAAATCAGTTTATAAATGCAAAATTTCTCACTATAACAGCCGCTAGGCTTCAACGCGCGCCATAACAATTTCCTCAATTTTCCCGGAAATACATATCCCCCCTCCCATCACCCAACACCCATCACCTCCATCATATCCCCATCTCCTGCGAAAGGACATGAAATACGCATCTCCAGCAGGAGGAGCAGGAGCTAAAACAGCAATGGAAAACCGTTCATTCGAAAAACAAATTGTGATGGATGGGGATTGTTTGCTTTGCGAACCATTTGCGATGCCCTAATGCCATAGAATACTCCCATTTTCGCCCACATTTTTCGCCTCGCGGCTCCACTAGTTTCTCGATAATGGCATTTGTTTGTCGTTCTATGCATTTTAGGCCCCAGAAAATCATTTAACAATATTGCATATTTATGATTTTCGCAGCGAGCCAGACGGGGAAGCATATTTTATAAACATTTAATAATTTGACAGGGAGCAGAAATTATAATTAAATGAGGCATAGTCAAATGGAAGCTATAAACATTTAAAATGTGCTTTTAGTTTTTGGAGGAAAAATGATTTATAACTTTATATAGTAAGTAAAATATAATACACAAAGTTAATGGGAAGTTTATTCAATACTAAATTGATTTTAAACTGTTCAAATTTCAAAGCAGCATATTCCGTATTTCAACTCAAATTATCAATAATTTTTCATTGTGCCCATACATTTTCGAAATTCGTTTGGCCAGTCGAATATATTCTGTGGAATCGGGCCAAGCAATCATTGTTGGATGCCCACCCAATGTCATGCCAATGCTAATATCACCAATTTCACCCGCTTTCTCCTTTCTCCCTCTCTGCAGAAATGGAAAGTGCACCACGTAATGTTCAAGTGCGCACGCTGAGCTCGTCCACGATGGTTATTACTTGGGAACCACCAGAGACGCCCAATGGACAAGTGACCGTAAGTACCTGGCATCAAGTGCGCATATTAAACGATAAGATCCGGACTCCGGACACGGAGAGCCCTCCGGAAACCGTAGCCCGTAGTCCACAGTCCCATAGTCCGGAGTCCGTAGCCCAAAAGCCCGTAACCCGGAGTCCGACCAACGCACTTTGTCACGTCAGTCGAATGGCTCGAATGGAGTGGAGGGGCCCGTCGAAGGGAAATTGGCAAAATGCCCTTAGCCATTTTCCGGGGAATGGAACGCAGGAGTGGCAGGAATGGAGAGCGAGGGAGCGGGGATCGAGGGAACGTTCGTATGCAAATCCTAGACACCTGTCCACAGGTCTCTCTCCTTGCCAAATCGGCAATCGTTGTGGTCTTGGCCGTCTCCGCCGGAGAAGTTCTCTGCTCTGCTTTGAACGGGGCCTCGTAGGCCAAACAAATCTCTGGCCAGCGGCCATATATCATTTTCGGTTTATCAGTTAATGAAAGGTGAAAATCGGATTTGTATGCAAGATTTCAAATGGCTTTCAGTTAGCCGCTCTGATTTATTTTAGTAGGCCTTGCTTCTTCTTGGGTTCAGGTTAAACCAAACATACAATTAAGCTCTTTTCCAATACAAGGCTTTGACTTTTTGTGGTAGAAAAATGATTTATTTTACATAAGTTATTGTTTACGTCAAAGGTACTAAAATGACAAATATTTGCCTCTAAAATATATTTTTATTAAATTTAAAACAGTTTCATATATTTCGACACTACTTATGAAAGTTTTATACTTTCTAGACATAAAATTAAACTTTTTTGTATAGAAACCAACTAATGTTAAAGTAAATAGAATATCCGATTTAATGGTATCAAAATGCTATTCAATAGAGTTAAGTGCCTTGGTTATCCTATTTGATTCCATTTAAACCCAAAATATGAATGCTTGGGTGGTGTACAAATTGTTCTGTGTCATATTTATGTGACTTAACCACTTAATCGTTTTCTCACTATAAACAGGGCTACAAGGTGTACTACACGACGAACTCGAATCAGCCGGAGGCGTCGTGGAACTCGCAGATGGTCGACAACAGCGAACTGACGACGGTTTCCGAGCTGACGCCCCACGCCATCTACACGGTGCGGGTTCAGGCATACACCTCCATGGGAGCCGGTCCGATGTCCACGCCGGTCCAGGTGAAGGCCCAGCAAGGTAAGCTAAGCCAAATTGATTGGACAATCAGCCCCAATTAGGCACACGCAACACACACGCACACGCACACGAACACACATTCTAAATCGGGAACATTTTGCAATTTAATTGCTCAACTCAATCGGTCCCACATAGATCACACCAATTATTTAATTATAATACAAAATGTCAGGCGAAACGTGTGTCCGTTCAATGAAATATTTATCTCTCTGAAACTGAACACACAACATACTACACACAACACACAACACACACGACTGTGGAATACAGAACTTGTGGGCATGTCCGGTAGATATTCATTAACTTGCTGCAATCATGGGATATATGGGATGCAAATGTGCATTTGACCGAGTGTATTTTAGGCGCTTAAGTGGAGGGGGGCGTGGTCGTTTAGGCAGACTTACTGATTTCCTGTTTTCGGCCATCTTAAGCAGCTTAAACACAGCATAGTATAACCAACTAAACTCGGCTTGCACTTTAAACTGGGACGACTTATTACTCTGGGTTATGTAAACTGCAGAAAATGTCCACTTTCATTTGGGTCAAACGTGACTCTTGTTTGTGGCTAAGAAAGCCGAGCGGCTTTAGTCAATCGAACAGGACAACTCTTTAAGCCAATTTATGTGTATTTTCTAAGGCCACTTGGCAGTTGGAAAAAGAAATAAAATGATTTCGATTTGTATTAAACCGTAAGACTTCAAAGCGATGACAGGTTCTTTGGCTTCCCTGGGGAGCAGAAATAATTTGAAAATTGATAATCATTTTCTCTACGGGTTTTTCTCCCGCCTGCCACTGAAATATTCAAACATAGAAAATGTGGGGGTTTCGATTTGGGTTTGAGTTGTTCGGTTGTTCGGTTAGATGGACACATCTCAATCAATTTGATGCGAAAACCAATACGAACCCAAAAATGCTGATGCAGCGATTGCTGCTGTGCGTGTGTGTGTGTGGGTGTGTGTGTGTGTCACCTCATCAATATCATGCAACATTCCGAATTGGCAATAGCAACAGCAATCGCTATCGTTCGGATCCATCGGCATACAAACAAATGCCCACATTGATTTGTTTGTATTTTATTTAATTTCCGTAATTTCCGTTTCATTATTACCAAACCAAAACCAAAAACCAAATGCAATTCCCAACCGGGGAATCCACCAAACCCTGACATCCAATCATCCAACCCCCCTTCCAAAAAAAACAACATGGAATATGAAATATGCGGATATGTCTACAAAAGGTGTGCCATCGCAACCGAGCAATTTCCGGGCAACCGATATCGGCGAGAACGCAGTCACATTGCAATGGACAAAGCCGACGCATTCCAGCGAGAATATCGTTCATTACGAGCTCTACTGGAATGACACATATGCCAATCTGGCCCATCATAAGTAAGTTTCGACCCCTCAAATCGGACAAGTAATAACCCAAACAAAACTAAACCTTTTACTCACCTTTTCAGACGCATTTCCAACTCAGAAGCTTATACCCTCGATGGTTTATATCCCGATACCCTGTTCTATATCTGGTTGGCGGCAAGGTCACAGAGGGGCGAGGGGGCCACCACCCCGCCGATTCCAGTTCGCACCAAGCAATATGGTAAGTCTGCCGATCCATCGCCGATTTCTAGAACTCTCTAAGTTAGCTCAAATCGTCGCCGTAGTCGTACAAGTTTTCCATAGGCTTAAGTACATCGAGAAACTGATTGATTTCAATACAAATCCACATATATAAATATATATATAATATGATACATATGATACCCCTGATACATGGAACATGTGTCCCATATACATGTAGTTGATTATTCAGTTACCCAAACCATAAAATGTCTGAGTGCGAGATTACATTTTATTGAATTGTGCCTTCGTGGAAACAGGTAAAGTGTGAGCGAATGCCATGAATAAATGATATCGAATGAGTGTTCCCGGTGTGCCGTGAATTTAATGCACTTTCCCACTTACTATATATCTGACCATACATACCTATATCGATATCTATATATATATATATTGTTTGACATGTGATCGTTCTGGTTCCTTGCAAGTTAGCCTTAAGTTTTAGCTGTTTAGATGATATACTCTACGAATAGCATTTCTTATTTTCTTAGTTAGTCTGTACAAAACTACACTGATTACAGACGAACCATACATAGTTTACACATAAATATACTTATACATACATAGAAAATAAGACATATATTACATATCAAATTTAAACATTAAAGCTCAACAGATCGCAGGAAGCTTATCGTAAACCTTTTCCAAATAAAGTGTAAAATAAATCTGAAAACCGATTTAGATTCAACAGCCCCCAAAAACTCAATTAAAACAAACGTTGATAAATCTTTTCAATAGTTTATAGTATAGAATGCACTGCGATCCGTTGGACTAATCCAATTACAGACCAAAATTCAATGAACAATAGCTAGCACTCCACAATCCACATCACACACAGGATTAAACCATAAACATCAAACGCAACCAACAACATTTCCAAACCAAAAACACCTTTTCCGCTTAAGTTCAAAACCAAATTGCACGATAATGAAATGCAAAATATTAGGGGAGAGAAATATAGTAAAAAAAAAAAACAAAACACATAACCAAACTATTACGGAATGCATATTTGAATTTGTGTGTTTTGCATTTGCTCGATTATATTCCATTTATCATTTGTGGCTCTGTGAGTGTTAAATCATGTAAATTATGCCCAAACAATTTCCAACTTTAGACCACTATTTAAGTGCTAAAATTCCTAATGCACTTTGCACACACTATTGCACTCGGCACTCTTCACTCTTCACTCTGCACCAAAAGCACCGAACAGCACCAAAATCACCGAGACCACAAAAACCAAAAACCGAAAACGAAAATCCTTTAACTTCTCTCCGTCTGCATCAGTGTCTAGAAAATTGATTTTGAATGATATTTTAATAGAGCGGCGCGAAGACAAATGCCGGAAGTGCAAAGTTCTTGGCAGTGGCATAAATATCACTTTTGGTTTCCATATTTGCACGTTTTGCATATTCGCATAATTAAAATGTAAATGGTTGTCTGTGGCTCAGACGGTTGCAATAAAGCCAAGCCACAAAGTTATTTTGGAACTGTTTTTAGCCTAGAGCCTGATTTAAACCTTGAGTTGCCTGCTACCTTTGATTAGTTTTCTAATTACTTTCTGCACTTGAAATTATTTAGATACTTGCCCCATAGTTATTCAGCCTTTAAAACTTTGCGCACTTTTAATAATTTTTAGTTTTAGTTTTGTAGTTTATTAAGTTTGTGTATCTGATAATATGTATGCCAAATTCCCATGGTTTATGCAAATGAATGTATTTTCGTGTGTATGTAAATGTTGTGTGAATGTATAGCTTTAATTTATTTATTGTTTTTTTTCCTAAGCTAAGCATGACATGGATTTGCTTCTCTAGTAGATAGTTGGGAAAATTTTCAGCTCAAAAAGTCGTTACCAAAAAATATGCACAAATTATTGACGAACGCAAAAAAGAAAAAAAATTAAAAAAGGAGTCAACATTATTTGCATAAACCATTGGATCTATGTCTTGATATTTGAATTTATTTCAATATATATTTTTATGCCTATATAAACCATGTTATTCCATATCATTTTAATGTTATTTTGCTTTACGGCTTTTTCGTTTCATGTTACCCATATTGTTTTGGTTTGACACTTTTTTTCGTATTCTCTGCGCTAATTGCTGAACGCTATGAAAAACCAATATAAAACCAAAAAAAAAAAAAAAATCAACTCTCATAACCAAAAACCATGGCTATGCATCAACAACCAATAAAACCAACAAAAAAAACCCAACCAACCAAAAACAAATCAATGCACACACAAATACGTTCCGTTCCCATCTATGTAATTAGTACCAGGTGCACCGCCTCGAAATATCACCGCCATAGCGACCAGTTCGACGACTATATCTTTGAGCTGGCTGCCGCCGCCCGTCGAAAGATCGAACGGTCGGATCGTATACTATAAGGTGTTCTTCGTGGACGTGGGTCGCGAAGATGATGAGGCCACCACGATGACCCTCAATATGACCAGCGTTGTGCTGGACGAGCTGAAGCGCTGGACCGAATACAAGATCTGGGTCCTGGCCGGCACCTCCGTCGGCGATGGTCCTCGATCGCATCCGATCATATTGCGAACCCAAGAGGATGGTATGTATGCCAATAACGATCTTACCTACGCGTAAGTCCTATCGAAATGTTTCCGTTTCCGTTCCCTTATCAGTTACGTATTATATATTACGTTTTATTACGTTTTAATTTTACACTCATCCTAAGTTTGTTTGTAGTCATTTCTTATCTCGTTACCCATTATCGATCCCCCCGAAAAAAAAAAAAAAAACAAAATATCAACCTGAAACTAATCGAACGTATTTTGTACAATTTTTGAATTTTGATATCGGGAGCATTCACCACAGGAGCGGCTAAGCACTATGGAGCGTTATCTGATATATATCGAAATATCTATATATATTTTTGTCAACCAAATTCAGTTCATTTTCATTTTACAAACATTTATTTAAAGTTAGCTGTAAATAAGCGTTTTGAAAACAGCTAAAAATTTTGATTTGTAGCTTAGAAAAATATTTAATTCATTTTATAAACCAAAAGTCTGTCCGAATGTTGAGGAAGTTTTATCTTCTTTGAGAACCCAAAAAAAGAACCATAACTGAGAGTTATCGTTTTGGAAATATCCTATTTCCATCATGTCTTATTTATTCTTTGTTTTATAAAATAATTTAAAAAAAACTCATGGGATCGCTATAGATCTGTTTTAAGAGCTAAGAGAAATCTTACCACCTACCATATATTACTTAATTTACGTTTTATTCCATTTACAATTTTTTTTACCAGTATTATTTGTGAAAATTCGTTTGTATATTTAAACAAAATTGAAAACATCTACAAAATTATCTTATTGGCACTATAAAATTGCATATTTTTTGGCGCAATTTTTGACTACTTTTTTGCACAAAATCTCTTATGGAAAAACAAAAGAAAATATCTCTTTTTAGAAGAACTCCTATGTATTGTGTACTATATGCAAGCAACAATATTTTTGTTCTTTTTACTTCTTGACTCGCAATCGTCTCGAGAAATGCACAAAACCAAGATATATCTCTTAATATAAACAACGAATCAAACTTTATAAATAAATATTTTTGAATATAATGCATCAACTGTTTGTGGTAATTTGTATAGCACCAAAAATCGCCATGAACTCAATGTAATCTTTTTGTATTTTTGGCATTTTCATATAGTTTTTGTAAGCACAACGTATACAACAACAACAAAAACAACAACAGCGATAACCTAAATCGCAAAACCAATACACAAATTTGATTTTAGGTTGTTTGCCTTAAATATTTTATTTAATTATTTGCATAATTAAATGTATGCAATTATAAATGTAAACAAACCCAATCCGAGCCAAAAAAAGGGGTTCTAGCCATAATAACCCCGTTCCTGAACCCAATAAAATTCCCTCACGTTTTTACATGTTTTATTTCAAATGTTTACCCAACGCAAATAGCGCAAAATGTTTCGCTCTATTTATTTATTCCTGCATTTTTTTTTTTCTCAGTTGCGCTCACCTGCGAACATACCTTTACATGTGGCGATATTTACATAAATGCATACATATTTAATAACGTTTACAAAAGCTCGGTGTACTATAATTTTTGAGCCCTTGCCCGGTATACAAGCTCTTTCCCTATCTGTTTGGTTTTTGGCACACGGTTTTTGCACTTTTGTCACCAGTGGAGCTCCACACATCCCCACCACGAATGCCCCAAAATGCCCCGAAAAGCCCCGCAATGTCGCACGTATTTAAATGGATTTTTGTTTTTTGTTTATTGCCATGCAAATAACGAACAACCCACTCGCCCAGCAAATGACAAATCCTCAAATTGATTTCTGCACAAAATTAACCGAATTTTTTCATTCACGCACATAATTTTGTATATTTTGTGTTGTTGACCGATTTTATTAAGTTTTATTTGCAATCACCTGCATGTTTGCACAGTTAACACATTTGCATATTTGCACTTTTCATCGCTTTTCCCCAAACCATCAAGTTTTTTTGTCCGATTGAAAAGGCATAAAGGATAACCGATCTGAACTTCCATTACATGGATACTTATCTTTTTTGCCGAACTTAAACCTTTTATATACTGCACTCACACCACATTTCCTGTCTGAAAAAAAATGCTTCCATTTAAAACCCTAGTTGTGTTCATTCTATTCGAACTGAACTTTTTCTGGAGCTAAAATGTATTTTTTGTTTCCATTGGACTCTATTAAACCATGACCCAAATCAATTTATAGTGATTTATGTTTTTATTCTCACTCATAAAATCAAAATCAATGGAAAATCATGCACATCCACACTGCGTTTAAACCTTACTTCATTTGCTTGTTAGCTGTTAACTTGCTTGTTCAACAGAAAACAGTTTTCCCTATAAAGTACCTACTCAATTTGTGTGTTTTAAGAGCTCAACACCATCCGAGTGTGGTGGCCCATTCACTTTACTTTATTTTGGCTAAGCACTGTAAATTAAATGTACTTATTGTTAAGCACCTTAGTGTACGTCTCACTCGCTCTCTCTGTTCTTGTTTGGCACACGCTCCTGGCATCTTCTAGCTCACTCTAGTTGTTATAATAAGCTTAGTATTAAGACTGCAGCACCGATAGCACAGCACCTAATGCACAGGCACGCACACAATGCGAGTTAGAGTTCAAAGGACACGTAAATGAGTGAATGTTCCCCCCCAAAAAAATGTACAATCACATGCAGGGCAGCGCAGAGAAAAAATATGATTGGTTGGACATTTTACACAATTTTGCTGAAATATTGCTGAGAACAAAAAGAAACAACCATGTGCAACTAGTCGGCTACGTAATACGATTTTTAAAGAAAGTTGATCAAATAATTTTCAAACCAATAAATGATTATTCCTTAAAGCCCATTCAAACATATGATTTTAATCAATTTACACCTTTCAGTGAAAATAAAAGCAAAATAATACTGAAAATGTTTATGACAACTGTTCAACATGTCGGCTAAGTGATAAAGTGTTCTAAGAACTACTTGCAACATGAAAGATACATTAATTAATTCCTAACAAATTATATGAAAATCTAGAAAATTGTACTCCTTGCTTAGTATTTAAAACCTCAAATTGCAACGAAAACAAATCCTGCAGAAAGTAATATAACTTTTTGTGAGAAATCAAAAGATATTCAATCCCTCATAAACTCAAAAACCAATGTCAAGCACCCAACTCAAGAGGTTTTTTTCTCTGTGTATGACCCAGCAGCAGCAAGACAAGCACCAAAGCACCGCAATGCCATTGAGCTATCTGTGACTGACTTGAATTTCGTTTTAATTGTACTCAATTTGGCATAACCAGAGGCAAGCGGCCACATATCTCAACCAAATTCACTTCCCTTCCGTTTGCTGCTGTCGCACTTATAGCCGGCGGCTCACAACATGCAGCAGGAGCATTTGAGCCAGCATTAAAGGGTCAGCACATGGGTAGTTGTAGTGGTAGTGGTAGCACTACTCGTATGTTATGTGTACATGCAACTCTGTTTGCCAGCTTTACCAGCTCTTCCAGCTTGCTTTTGTACTAATTTTTGTTACCCAGCACTGGCTAAGGTTAACGGGTGTATTAATTTTACCTAAGATCTTTATTTAGGAAAGAGACAAATTTTAAAACAAATATTTTTCACCGCTTAAGAAACATCTGGATAATAATAAAAACTTAAAGAATAAATTTATAGTAAAGAAAATTATAGAAGTCCGCACAATCTTTATTAGAAATACCAATCTCTCAATTGATTAACAGAAAGCATGCAATAATCTTGACAAATAATAAGTTACATTGTTATTTACGTACTTCATTGTATATTTTGATTTGATTTTCACCAAGGACTAGGTATTTAAAGGTCGGTACCCTCGACACTCTTTTTCTTTCTTATCTTTTTCTACTAATTTTTGTGCTTCGTACGTTGGGAGCGTATTCGTTATGATGTGATGCGCTTGTTAGCTGGCAGAAAGCACAAATGCAGAGGCAGAGGCAGAGGCAAATGCAAATGCATTCCACCTGTATAAGCTGGGCACTTGCTTTTCATGGCGTCGGTCCACGGGAGATTCGCAGGGCAAGCAGATTCCCTTTTGTGCGCCCAGACAGTCGCACTTTTCGCACACGTCCTGCCCACGTATGCACCCAAAAATATAATATATATATATATACGGAAAAAATAAAATAAATAAAAAAAAAAGAATGTTAAAAAATGAGCACCTCGAGCATTGGAAGCTTAGCACGCGCTCCTTGCTTCGTTTGTTCCATTCAGCACAGAAAGAAGCACGGGAAAAAGAAATACAAAATAGAGAACACTTCTACGGTAGCATTTTAATTATTTTATATATTTTTAGTGCACTAATGTGTGTGTGTGTGTGTGTGTGTGTGAGAAAGGGTGTGCATGTGTGTGTGGATCGCAGCTGGTGTGAATGGGATGCGAAATGACAAAAAATGAGACAAAACTACTGCATTTGACCCCTTGCATTTGAAAAAGTTAAGCAGATGAGCAGATGCCAAGCTGCAGGACACTAATGAAGCATAATTTAACATTTTTGCGCCGTCAGTTGCATTTGAATAATTTGTATTATGCATTTATTTAACATTTTTAATGAACCCAAATGCAATGATTGCGGGCAAGGACCCGCAAGGCAGCAAACCGTTGGCCAAATTATGAATGCTATATGAGAAAAAATTTCAATATAAATTCATCTCCAGCGGTTTTAAAATTTATCACATGGCCTGACATTAATTTAAGAAATACATAGCCATAACATTAAAGCAAATTATTTGTATTAATATTGATAAGTTATAATAAAGAAAGGTGGGACTAATTTAAGCTCTATTTCAAGGTATATTTAAGATTTGCAATATATACTTACAATTATGTAACTAATTATAGGTAAGTTACTTATACTAATTAGACTAATCGATTATTTAAACTGGGTGTTCTTAATCTACAAACTACCACATAGTTTTAAACAAAAAGTTCTAAGTAAATTTGAAGATCTTAAGAACACTGTACAGTATCAAAACGGTGTGCCAACAAATATGTAGATTTTGTATCTTGTTTTTCCATCTTCAGTTCAGTTCACCTTTCCTTTTTCCGGTTTTTCAACTATTTTTGTGCACTAGTAACCCTTTTTGGAACTGTATACTGTAAACTAAATACCTATATTTTATATCTTTTTTCACATACTATAAAAACAAAACCAAATAACTTTGCTTGGCCACTCGCACCTTGCACCAATTGCTCTGTTTCGTGCACCTTTTTTTGAATGCAAATCAAAATGGAAACCCAAAAACAAAAACAAAACAAAAAAAATCATAAACCAAAATCTTTTTGAAACTTTTTTGATGTGAATACGAAATTATTGCGAAATTTGATTTTTGAACGCAACCTTTAATGGATGGTGGTTTATATATATAATACAAATAAAAATTTTAAAACTATTTAGAGAAAAAGAGTGAGTATATTTAATGGTTGACTATGTATTATGTTTAAGAATGCCATATAGCAACATACTATCTATACTATATCATAAATCTCTATTTCTATACCTATACTCTGTTTCCCAAAAAAAAAAAACATATTTTTGAATTGGATCGAAATCATTTGACCAATAACTAAAAGAATCATGTCTCTTTTGTTTTTTGATATGTTTCTCTATTTCGACATTTTTTGAAAAACTTACCAAACCATTTAAGAGGTCGGCAAGGATTTTTGATGCTCTTGAAAAAGGAGCTTACGTGTATAGAAAATATATATGAACTATTTTTTGATTTATCACTATATATGTTTTTTGCACACAACCAAGTAAAAATTTTTTGAATGCTTACATGTTTGTTTTTGCTAAGTGAATCGAAGTGGACATCGCAATCAAAGTGTTTACGATAGTCAACATTTTTTGTGTACTTTTTTGCCACCATACTCCTAAGTAATGGTCTATACTATAATATAATACGATAGCAAGGTATAAACTGCACCTCCTTTTAACTTTTGAGCACCAATTGAGCAACCCCTTCCATATACCAACTTACCAACTTACCAACTATATAGCACCTAAGCAGCACCTTTGTTGTTCGGTTATCCAGTTCCCAACTTCACTTTCTTTGTTTTGATTTAAATCTGTTTTTGTCTGTGATGTGGTGATGGCATTGACTTGGAACTAGGTTTGTTCTGGTTCTGTACTACCAACATATATATTCTTGTATATGTATTACTCCTAGGGTCTAAGCACTTAGTTCTAGTTGCCTAGTTTTCTATCTGTATACTAAAAACCAAATCACATGTACTACAGCGTTAAGTAAGTTAGTGATAATCACCTTAGCCAACTTGGCATAAGTTAAGTTATCTTTATCGTTGAATATCTCCAGTTGTTTTCGCCACTGTGAGTGCCTCCATCTAATCTCGTTTTCTTCGTCGTCGCATTTAGTGCCCGGCGATCCACAAGATGTTAAGGCCACGCCCCTGAACTCCACATCGATCCACGTGAGCTGGAAGCCGCCTCTAGAAAAGGACAGGAATGGCATCATCCGGGGTTATCATATACATGCCCAGGAATTGAGAGATGAGGTGAGTACTTTTTTACATTAACCAATGGGAGATAAAATCATAAACAACTTAAGAGTATCTAGAAATCTAAATATGGTATAGCCCTTTAACCTATCATTAATTATAATACTTTTGCAGCAGATTCCTTATCCAATTTAATCCAATCCTATTCCTTATCCTTTTGTAATACTTGGAACTTACTTTTATTGCTTCATTCATTTAATTTCCTTATCCAAGGGCAAGGGCTTCCTCAACGAGCCCTTCAAGTTCGATGTGGTGGACATGCTGGAGTTCAATGTGACTGGTCTGCAGCCGGACACCAAGTACTCCATCCAGGTGGCCGCTTTGACCCGCAAAGGCGATGGCGATCGGAGTGCGGCGATTGTGGTGAAAACCCCGGGAGGCGTTCCCATTCGACCAACGGTGAGTCTGAAGATCATGGAGCGGGAACCGATTGTCTCCATCGAACTGGAGTGGGAGCGACCGGCGCAGACTTACGGCGAACTGAGGGGCTATCGCCTTCGCTGGGGAGTCAAGGATCAAGCTCTCAAGGAGGAGATGCTCTCAGGACCTCAGTTGACCAAGAAACGCTTCGACAATCTGGAACGCGGCGTGGAGTACGAATTCCGAGTGGCGGGCAGCAATCACATTGGCATCGGTCAGGAAACAGTGAAAATATTCCAGACCCCAGAAGGAACACCAGGTGGACCGCCCTCGAACATCACCATTCGCTTCCAAACCCCGGACGTTCTATGCGTCACCTGGGATCCACCAACCAGGGAGCATCGCAATGGCATTATCACCCGCTACGACGTGCAGTTTCACAAGAAGATCGATCATGGTTTGGGTTCCGAACGGAATATGACGCTCCGCAAGGCGGTCTTCACGAATCTCGAAGAGAACACGGAGTACATATTCCGAGTGAGAGCCTACACGAAACAGGGAGCAGGGCCCTTCAGCGAAAAGATGATCATCGAAACGGAGAGGGACATGGGTAGAGCTCCAATGTCCTTGCAGGCGGAGGCAACCTCTGAGCAAACGGCGGAAATTTGGTGGGAACAGGTGACGAGTCGTGGAAAGCTCCTGGGTTACAAGATCTTCTACACAATGACCGCCGTCGAGGATCTGGACGATTGGCAAACGAAAACGGTGGGACTCACGGAATCCGCTGATCTCGTTAACCTAGAGAAATTTGCTCAATATGCGGTGGCAATTGCAGCGAGATTTAAGAATGGATTGGGGCGACTAAGTGAGAAGGTAACGGTGCGCATAAAACCGGAGGATGTGCCATTGAATCTGCGTGCCCACGATGTCAGCACCCATTCGATGACCCTCAGCTGGTCACCTCCGATCCGCTTGACTCCCGTGAACTACAAGATCAGCTTCGATGCCATGAAGGTGTTCGTGGACTCGCAGGGATTCTCGCAGACGCAGAACGTCCAGAAGCGTGAGATTCTCCTCAAGCACTATGTGAAAACGCACACGATCAACGAACTGAGTCCCTTCACCACCTACAATGTGAACGTGAGTGCCATTCCCTCGGATTACTCCTACCGACCGCCCACCAAGATCACAGTCACCACTCAAATGGCTGCTCCACAGCCGATGGTCAAGCCGGATTTCTACGGCGTGGTTACTGGCGAGGAGATCCTGGTGATTCTGCCGCAGGCCTCCGAGGAGTACGGACCCATCTCTCACTACTACTTGGTGGTAGTGCCGGAGGACAAGTCCAATCTGCACAAGATACCCGATCAGTTTCTCACCGATGACTTGTTGCCGGGTCGGAATAAACCGGAGCGTCCGAATGCCCCCTACATTGCAGCCAAGTTCCCCCAGCGCTCGATTCCCTTCACCTTCCACTTGGGATCGGGAGATGATTACCACAACTTCACCAATCGCAAGTTGGAGAAGGAGAAGCGCTATCGCATCTTCGTGCGTGCAGTGGTGGACACTCCGCAGAAGCATCTCTACACTTCGAGTCCGTTCTCTGAGTTTCTATCGCTGGACATGCGGGAAGCGCCGCCGGGTGAACGACCCCACCGACCGGATCCCAACTGGCCATCCGAGCCGGAGGTCTCTGTGAATCGCAACAAGGACGAACCTGAGATCCTATGGGTGGTTCTCCCCCTGATGGTATCCACCTTTATTGTATCCACTGCCTTGATTGTTCTCTGTGTGGTGAAGCGTCGCCGGCAACCTTGCAAGACTCCCGATCAGGCAGCGGTGACTCGACCACTGATGGCCGCCGATTTGGGTGCGGGTCCCACGCCCAGTGATCCCGTGGATATGCGAAGGCTGAACTTCCAGACACCCGGAATGATCTCCCATCCGCCGATTCCCATTTCGGAGTTCGCCAACCACATCGAACGGCTCAAGTCCAACGACAATCAGAAGTTCTCGCAGGAGTACGAGAGCATCGAGCCGGGTCAGCAGTTCACCTGGGACAACTCCAATCTGGAGCACAATAAATCGAAGAATCGCTATGCCAACGTGACCGCCTACGATCATTCCCGCGTCCAATTGCCGCCGGTGGAGGGAGTAGCGGGTTCGGATTACATCAATGCCAACTACTGCGATGGCTATCGGAAGCACAATGCCTATGTGGCCACCCAGGGACCGCTGCAGGAGACCTTCGTGGACTTCTGGCGCATGTGCTGGGAGCTCAAGACGGCGACGATTGTGATGATGACGCGGCTGGAGGAGCGAACGCGCATCAAGTGCGATCAGTATTGGCCGACACGAGGAACGGAGACCTACGGCCAGATATTTGTGACCATCACGGAGACCCAGGAGCTGGCCACCTACAGCATTCGCACGTTCCAGCTGTGCCGGCAGGGCTTCAACGATCGCCGCGAGATCAAGCAGCTGCAGTTCACCGCCTGGCCGGATCACGGTGTCCCCGATCATCCGGCTCCCTTCCTGCAGTTCCTCCGCCGCTGTCGCGCCCTCACACCTCCCGAATCCGGACCCGTGATCGTTCACTGCTCGGCGGGAGTGGGTCGCACCGGGTGCTACATCGTCATCGATTCGATGCTGGAGCGCATGAAGCACGAGAAGATCATCGACATCTATGGGCATGTCACTTGTTTGCGGGCGCAGCGGAATTACATGGTGCAGACGGAGGATCAGTACATCTTCATACACGACGCCATCCTGGAGGCCATCATCTGTGGGATGACCGAGGTGCCGGCACGCAATCTGCACACCCACCTGCAGAAGCTGCTGATTACGGAACCCGGCGAGAGCATCTCGGGCATGGAGATCGAGTTCAAGAAGCTGTCCAACGTCAAGATGGACTCGTCCAAGTTCGTCACTGCGAATCTGCCGTGCAACAAGCACAAGAACCGGCTCGTTCACATCCTTCCCTACGAATCCAGTCGCGTCTACCTGACCCCCATCCATGGCATCGAGGGCAGTGACTATGTGAACGCCAGCTTCATCGACGGCTATCGCTATCGGAACGCCTACATCGCCGCCCAGGGTCCTGTGCAGGATGCCGCCGAGGACTTTTGGCGCATGCTCTGGGAGCACAACTCCACCATTGTGGTCATGCTGACCAAGCTCAAGGAAATGGGCAGGGTAAGAGGATCTTAAAATGTTTTTTTTGTTTTTTTTATCCGGTAATTGCAAATACGAGTTAAGAAATTTAAAACCAAAAATATTTAAATGTTAAGAAATAGTTCTTTAGAGAAACAATATTTAAAGGAGTATTCAGGAATCTTTCACAAAAACGGTTAACAATAAATTATAGTATCACTCAGCAAATAATTGTTATAATCAGCTTCAGACAGCTAATTATTTAAAATGACACTTTACCTATTCCATCTTAATCATAATACGAACACAATCCGTAGGAGAAATGCTTCCAGTACTGGCCACATGAGCGATCCGTGCGCTATCAGTATTATGTCGTGGATCCCATTGCGGAGTACAATATGCCGCAGTACAAGCTGCGTGAGTTCAAGGTGAGCGCACGTGTGAGATCTCTTCAATTGATAACTAGAAACTGAATGAAATATTTCGAAATTCAAAGGTCACCGATGCACGAGACGGATCCTCGCGCACTGTGCGCCAGTTCCAGTTCATAGATTGGCCGGAGCAGGGAGTGCCCAAGTCGGGCGAGGGCTTCATCGACTTCATCGGTCAGGTGCACAAGACCAAGGAGCAGTTTGGCCAGGACGGACCCATCACCGTCCACTGTTCGGCGGGCGTGGGCCGGTCGGGTGTGTTCATCACCCTGAGCATTGTCCTGGAGCGGATGCAGTACGAGGGAGTCCTCGATGTCTTCCAGACAGTGCGCATCCTGCGCTCCCAGCGACCGGCTATGGTGCAAACCGAGGTGAGTATTAAAAGGATTACCTCACTGATTCAAATAGGAACTCATAATATAACATTCTTTACTATCATCAGGACCAATACCACTTTTGCTATCGCGCTGCATTGGAATACTTGGGCTCATTCGACAACTATGCAAACTGAGGGCACTAAACCTCCGGATTGAAGAACCCCTTCGACCCTGCGTTCGTTGCATACTGATTTCGAACTCTACGCATAATACGCATTTACGATATACACGGATATCATAAACTCTAAAGTATTATAGCCAGCTACTGCCCACACTTACTTAATACACCTATACTTATATACGTGGATATGTTTAGTTGATAAGTGCATTCCCCGGCAGCAGATGCAGATTATCTCACCATTAGCGATTATTTCCGGGGGCCCTTCGGTCTTTTACTGCGTTTTGCGTTTGATTTAATTGATAATGTAAACTTAAAAAGACTGTTACACGTTTAATTATCAGAAATGAATATATCAGCCCATATATACTTCTATATGTGCGTCAAGTTTTTGCTCGCTAAACGAAGGAGGAAGTCAATCAACTTGTTGTTCGTGGAAACTGCCGCCAGAATGGCCATGGATTAGGGCAAACCACTGGAAACCGATACATATTTGAACTAAGGACTTGGTAGATATTAGTCTTACCGCCTAACTCGAATCTCGAACGAAAGGATAGGGTCGAAAGTAGAAACCATTTGAACGAAATCGCAAACTTCTGGCGTTCGCCATTATAATATAGAGACGTATTAAGTAATACAATCAATCGAGTGCAGCTATGTTAATCAGTTTTTATGCCTAGGTTGTTGGATAACCAATATAAACAATCCGTGCAATTAGTCAAAAGTCTTGCCGAGTGCATATTAAATAAGGCAGCTAGTTTCTAAAATAAGTTTTCAAACACGACTTGCGTTTTGATCTCCCTTAAACAAGATGACGAACTTGGAGGACTGATCGATTTTGTGCAGCTAACAGACGGTTTTAATTTTGTAAACGTAACTTCCAGCTGATCGGCTAATTGGAACTTTAACCTCATTCATTCCCACGGCTCCTTTTCATTTACCCAGTACATTCCTGTATATACCACACTTTATACCCAAGCAAGCTAGCCACGTATGTACGAGTATGTGTAATTTAGATCGAAAAGCTAAACAATTATTGTACCTAAGGTGTATGAAAGCATAGATAATAACCAAGCGAACAGAACAGATTAGAATGATAACTGTAGATATGTACTGTAGCATATAATTTTTACCATAAAATATAGCAGCACACGCAAGGATAAAGGATAAAACGAGACACTGGCAATAGGTCTTAAGGTACACAAAGATGTATATAACTGATAAGCTGTTTTGCAGAACGTTTGAATTCGGCCTCGTATTTATACATAAATATATAAAGAAAAAGTTAGCAAGCAAATGCTTAAAAGCAAACACTAAATTATTAGCTGAAACACATGTTAAACAACAATAGTCATATGTAAACTAAATATTTATACGAAATAAATGTATTTGTTATAACTACTTTAGCGCGTTGCCCCTGCCAATTGGATCGGAAGTGTTAGCAAGTAGTTAATTGTGCGGCGATGTTGGCCGGCTGGGCATGTTTGGAATAAAACAAGAGATACAAAATTAAACTATAGCGCTAGCAACAATAGATGTCTAGATAAAGATATTCCCGCAGGGTGTTGCAATCGTATTAAACATAACGTATAAATCAATTGAAAAGTATATTGTATATTACACAAATTTGTCGGCTTGTCAAATTTTGTTAAAATATAAATTGTTTTATATATTTTACCAAATAGAAAGATATAACAATTTTAAAGGTAACATGATACACAGACAAGCAAACATTATAATGATTATACTAATCAAGCAACAGATGAGCGTATGTATTTCGCATTAATGTATGAGTAAGAATATCATATTATGTTAAAAAGTACCATACAAATAATATATCATTTTCAAAAAACTGCAAAACCGAATGAAAAAGAAATAATAAATGACGAAATAAAATAATCAAGCGAATTTATTTTTTTTGGCAAAGGTCTTGATTCTGTCTATTCACCAAGGAACATTATTTTAAAATGCTGATAAAAGCGACCATATTATAAGAGTCAGAGACTTGAACTTCATCAGCTGCTAATCTCCTTTGCTCTCGTGAAATATAATATTAGAAGGAGCTTTTCACAGACAAGGTATAAAAACTCAAATTCTCCTCTAAAATAGTATAGTCGAACCGAACTATTTGCACAAGATGCGTTGCCCGCTAATAATCTCTGTGTTTCTTTTGGTAAGCCTGGACATAATAGATTAATTAAACGCGTAAACACTTTTATTATTTCCCAGAGTCTTGCCTACGGCGCAACTAACACACCTCACTTTTATGACTATACCGAGGCCTTGTGTGCCCACGAAATTAATAGTTTTGTAAGGGACTTAGCTAACAGCGTGCCAGTTGAACATCGAGGACCAGGAACGGCCGCCCTTCAAGAGTATGCTAGCCGCACCGAGGAGATCCTTAAACGGAGAACTTTTGATGAGAAGGCTGACCAGCTGGACGCTCTGAAACACCTATACGAAAACGTCAAGGTCAATTTTTACCTAACTTCAAAGGAAACTGAAATCATTCTGCCAGGCTTAAAGAAATTCGCCAAAGAAAATGAGATGTGTTCAAATTAGTTCGGGTTGCGGAAATTCCCCCCTCATCAAGGAACTCCACACTAGGTTCGGAGAAGGTGCCCGCTAAATTTTGCCTCACTTGACACCGAACACTCTACTAGCCCGTGAAAGCGAGCTTGAACACTTAATGGAAACATACATCAAGTCTGAAGATTTACAAGAACATGAAGACCTCTATAATAAAATTATGGCCTTCAGAAATAGGCACTGAACCTTGGTAATCAATCAAATGGAATATTCATTCAATAACAGCTTGACAAATTAAACAATTAAACAAATTAAAAGTGAAAGTTTCAGTCTTGGCTTTTGTTATCAATTAAACTCTTATCTAAGTTCGTGGCCAATTAAAAAAAATATTTTTCAACGCGCCAACACAAAATTAATATTATATGTATATATTATTAATTGTAAGTCATCGTATACACACAATAATATAGATGTAAAGGGTCTTTATTGAAACGTAAATAAAGAAGGCAATGAAAATTCACGGTAAAATCTTTTATAATTGTGCCTTAAAGACGAATATCCTACTGCTTAACATTTTTACATTTAATCGCATTAAAAAAAAAATACAAAATATATCATAATTCGTGCCGTTAAAATGGTAAACGACTGTGAATCTTAAGAACGCTGGATTCCATTCCGAGTCCTTTGAAGCAGGAGCTTGACCTGGCATCCGGACGATTTTGGTGTTTGGTGGCAACTTGATGACCATGCAGTTGCTGGGCAGATGAGCCCAGCAACACCATTATTTTAAAATGCTGATAAAAACGACAATATTATAAGAGTCAGAGACTTAAACCTCAACAGCTGCCAATCTCTTTTGCTCTCGGTGGCTGAAATATAAGAAGGAGCTTTTCACAGACAAGGTATAAAAACTCAAATTCTCCTCAAAAATATTATAGTTGACCCGAACTATTTGCACATGATGCGTTGCGAGCTAATTATCTCTCTGTTAATTTTGGTAAGCCTGAACATAAAAGATTATTCAAATGCGAAAACACTTTTATTATTTCCCAGAGTCTGGCATACGGCGCTCCTCCCAAATCTCAAGATGAAATAATCGATCAGTTTTTGAACTATGCCGAGGCCCTCCATGCTGTCAAAATTCATAATGGTCTGCAAATTTCAATAAAATTTGTTACGGATTTAGCGAACAGCGTGCCAGCTGAACATCGAGGACCAGGAACGGCCGCCCTTCAAGAATATATTAGCCGCACCAAGGAGTTCCTTAAGCACGGTAATGTTTCTAAGATGTCTGACCAGTACACTCTGCAAAACCTATTCGAAAACCTTAAGGAGAATTTAGACCCAACTTCAAAGGAGTCTGAAATCATTCTGCCAGGCATCCTGGACAAACAAGAATTAACAGCTAAATTCGCCGAAGAGGATGAGAAAGTCCACACTAGGTTCGGAGAAGGTGCCCGCCAAATCTTGCCTCAATTGACTCGGGACACTCTAATCCGAGCAAGCGAGCTTATATATTTAATGGGCAAATACATCAAGTCTGAAAAACTTCAAGAACATGAAGACCTCTACAAAAAAATTCTGGCCGTCGGACGTTATTACTTTTAAGCCTTTGTAATCAGTAAAATAAAAGATTCATTCAATAAGTGCTTGACAAATTAATCGAAAAGTAAGAGTTTTATTCTTGGCTTTTGCTATCAAGTACCAGTCGTTATACCCTTATCTAAGTTCGTGGATAATGCTAAAAATAATTTTAAAGCCCCACCACAAAATTAGTATATTTTTAATTGGAAAGTCACCGTACAGGAGCAGTTTGGCTAGGACGGACCCATCATCGTGCAGTGTTCAGCGGGCGTGGGGGTGTTCATCACCCTGAGCATTGTCCGGGAGCGGATGCAGTACGAGGGAGTCCTAGATGACTTCCACACAGCGCATCCTGCAAACCGAGGTAAGTATTTGGAGGGATCAATAAGGTATGATTCAAATGGGAATTTATAATTCTTACGTGTTTAGTTGATAAGTTAGCGATTAGCGATTTAATTGATAATGTAAACTTAAAAAGACTGTTACACGTTTAATTATCAGAAATTAATATATCAGCCCATATATACTTGTATATGTGCGTCAAGTTTATATATTTTACCAAATAGAAATTTATAACAATTTTAAAGGTAAACATGATACACAGGCAAGAAAACATTATAGTTATACTAACAGGCAACAGATGAGCGTATGTATTTCACATTAAAGTATGAGTAAGAATATCATTTTATGTTAAAAACTGCAAAACCAAATGAAAAAGAAATAATAAATGGCAAAAGAAAAGAAATCAAGCTACTTTATTTATTTGGCTTAAAGGGCTTTATTCTGTCTTTTCACCAAAAAACATTATTTTTAAATGCTGATTATAAGAGTCAGAGATTTAAACTGCAACAACTTTTGCTCTCCGTGGCTGCAATAAGAAAAGGAGCTTTCCACAGACAAAGGTATAAAAACTCAAATTCTCCCCAAAACATAATAGTCCAACCAAACGATTTGCACAATATGCGTTGCGAGCTAATAATCTCTCTGTTTCTTTTGGTAAGCCTGGAAATTATAGACTTATTAACGCGTAAATACTTCTATTATATCCCAGAGTCTTGCATATGGCGCTCCTCCCAAATCTCAAAATGGAATAATCGCTCACTTTTTGGACTATGCCGAGGCCCTCCGTGCTGTCGAAATTCATAATGGTTTGCTACTTTCAACTAATTTTGTAAGGGACTTAGCGAACAGCGTGCCAGTTGAACATCGAGGACCAGGAACGGCCGCCCTTCAAGAATATGTTAGCCGCAGCAAGAAGATCCTCAAACAGGGAACTTCTGATGAGAAGGCTGGCCAGGGATACGCTCTGCAAACCCTGTTCGAAAACCTCAAAGACAGCTTAGACCCAACTTCAAAGGAGGCAGAAGCCATTCTACCAGGCTTCCTGGGCATATTGGCGTTGGCATCTGAATTCGCCGAAGAGGATGAGAAAGTCCACACTAGGTTCGGAGAAGGTGCCCGCCAAATGTTGCCTCACTTGACTCCGAACACCCTAGCCCGAGAAAGCGAGCTTGTACACTTAATGGACACATACATCAAGTCTGAAGATCTACAAGAACATGAAAACCTCTACAAAAAAATTCTGGCCTTCAGAAATAGGTACTGAACCTTTGTAATCAATAAGATGAAATATTCATTCAATAACAGCTTGACAAATTAAACGAAAAGTAAAAGTTTTATTCTTGGCTTTTGTTATCAATTAGCATTCGTTAAACTCGTATCTAAGTTCATGGCCAATTCTAAAAATATTTTTCAATGCGCCACCACAAAGTTAATATATTATTAATTGGAAAGTCATCGTAAACACACAATATAGATGTATATGGTCTTTATTAAAACGTAAATAAAGTCTAACAAGACAATGAAAATTCATGGTAATATCTTGTACAATTGTGCCTTAAAGACTAATATCCTACTGCGTAACATTTTTAATTTTAATCGCATTTTAGAAAAATACAAAATATATCATAATTCGTGTTGTTTAAATGGTAAACAATAATAAAGTTTTAAGAAAACAGAAACGTAACAATTATTAAATACCCTTAGCCGAATCAGCCGGGGTTGAGTCGATCTGATCGCGCTGTGACAGAATATTGAGCGGATCCTCGCTGCGTAGGTAGCCATTGTGTTCTGGATGATGTTCAAAGACGACCTCCCCTCTGATTACCCGCACCCGCGGACCGTGGGCTCGCGCTGTAAACTTCACCTTGCCGCAGGTGTCGGGCCTGAGGCGACGATGAGCACGTAAGCCACTGACAACTACAAAGTATTTGTCGCAGCCATAGCATTTATAACGCTTCATCCCAATGTGACGGGAGAGATGAGATATCAGAGTTTCCCGGTGAGTGAAATCCAAAGAGCAGACCTGAAAAAGCAAAAAAGGTTTGTTTTAGTTTTTTTTTCAATCAACATTTAACAATCTAACCTTGCACTTAAAGGGTTTTTCTCCGGTATGACGACGGTGGTGCACTCGCACTTGACCAGGAGTTCGAAAGCGTTTATCGCAATAGTTGCACTTGTGCGGCAACTCCCCCGTGTGAATCGACTTGTGGATACGCAAGGCTCCGAAAGTGGTAAATGTCTTAGAGCACTCCGTGCACTGGAACTGTGATGAACCCTTCTGGTCCTTCTTTGACTTTTTCAATCCCTTCGGTTTATCGGTTTTTCGTTTTGAGCCTGCCAAAACATTGCCATCAGAAATGTTTGGCAATGCCGTTAATTGATCTGTCAAAGGGGCAACGGCTGAACTTTCGTTTGGCAGAGATGGTAAATTTACAATCTGGTTGTCGTCTGTAGAAGATTTAGTCACTGTGTGGTTAGGTTCCACAGGCATTGCCGATGGCACATGCGGTGTTTGTGGTTCAGCGCTTGAGGATTCCTGTGAGAGTACTGAAACAAGTGTAAGAATAATTATAATAATTGACACAACAATATACAATGCAAGTATACTTACTTTTGTATGGCATTAGAATTACTTTAAGACTATTTATCGCTCTCCCGATTAAACCATGATTGCTAGTCAGGTGCTGGCGAAGATCGAATTCCTTTTCCATTGAAATCTGACATAGCGGACAGGTCCACATAAAACGGAAGAGCGGATACTTGGCATCCAGCTGCTTAGCCACATTCGAAGACAACTGGTCGAAAATAAGTTCAACTGGCTTCGGTGCATCAAGCGCAATCAGTGGAGGTATCGGGCGGTTAGCATTCTTCAACTTTGAAGATTGGAGCACTGATCCTGGTAGTGGCAATGTCTTTTCTATGGAGCGTATTTGATTCCGAAACTCCGAAATTAATTTCAAAGACTCGGGTCGGCTCTCCGACTTGCTGAACGCTTCACTGTTAAAGCAGGAAGACCGATTGTGGGTCTGAGCCGCCAGCTGCACGGTAGCCGGGTCGGAATTAACTGTGGGATTACCTGCTGACATTACTCTACTTATACTAATCGACTGCGGAATCTTAAGAACGCTGGATTCCATGTCGATCATACTAACTGTTACCGAGTCCCTTGAGGCAGGAGCTTGACCTGGCATCCTGATGATTTTGGTGTTTGGTGGCAGCTTGATGACCATGCAGTTGCTGGGCAATACTTTTAGTATATTAGCTGCGATTGGAGGCTTTCTCGGTGCCGTTGTTTCTTGATTCTTGTTTAAATCTGATACATTTGAGGTAGGTTGTCCATGCTGCACTTTGTTAGTGCCTAAAGCAGGCAACCGCAATTTACTTCTGAGCGGAATAGGTATGGATGACCAAATAGAACCATTGTTGTTTGAGGGTTCCTCAATTTCCTCCTTAATGCTAACTTCTGGCATCATCTCGTCTTCTGGTTCCATCTTAACGCTTATTTGACTGTTTCCTAATAGCAATCGTTCTCCTTCGCTGAGTGTCTCCTCTTTGATCTGCACATCGCACAGCGACTCAGCAGAAACTGGTGTACCTGTTGCCACAAGTTCTGCTTTGGAGGAAAGTCCCTCAATGTACTCCACCTTACCGCAAACGTATTGTTCGTTTTTTCTATGCAGATTAAGGGTTTGAATAGAATCAAAGTGACGACGACAAATGGCACAAACAAAGCGATACACATAAACGTGTCTTTGCATATGGCTGGCAAGGCTGTCCGCATCCCTGGCCAAGAAATCACAGACCTATAAAATAGATATCCTTAGTTTATAAATAATTGGAATAGATTTTAGCGCTCACTCTACAACAGAAAACATGTGAGTGCTGGCGATATTCATGCTCTAGGATCTTTTCCAGGCTGTCCAGCCAAATGCCACATCCCAGGCGACAGAAGTGCCTGTTCATTTTATGGTTAACTTGGTGGCCCGAAATCTCCAGTTGACTTTGAAATTCATAATTGCAGATATCGCAATTTTGAGGGGTTGGTTTATCCGATGGAACCGCAAATAACTGTAAAGATTGATACTTTATACAATAATGAATTATTTTAAGTAATTTTGCTAGAAGCTCCCCAATAAATGTGATCCCTTTTTCTACGCCCTTGTGCTGTCGTACTTTTTAGGTTATATTTACCTGTTGATGATCGAGTTGAAGGCTCTCGATGAATTTGCGCTCTTCCTCCGATTCCAAACGATCCCGTACCGGAACGGTTATCATATGCGAACCCTCTTCAAGGATTCTTAGTGGTTTGCCTGCTGCAGATTTGCCAAATTAAAAAAAAATTAAAAGTTAACGGTATAGTGCGTAATAGAACAGCGACACCCATACTCTCAGACTTAGCCGAACACAAACACACACACGCATGTAAGCGAAGAGCAGTTTTGCAAGCTTACCGCTGAAATGGTGCAAAGAAATGGAACTTTCCCCCGGCAAATCGTCTTGCGGCTCCAACTTGACCTTGGTGTCATCAATGTCCACTTCCTGCTTGACCAGGGTTAAATCCACGTGCATTTTGCTCCGTTTTGAGGATGCTTTGCGATCCAGAATACCGCTGCGATCGGCGAAGGTCTAACGATAGTGTAGGCAGAGCGCTGCCAGACCGCGCAAAGCGACCGTGTATATCGATACCCATTCGATAGGCGTTATGGGCCATCACTAACAAAAAAGCAATTGCTTGCGAAAGTAAACAAAACGAAATCTATTTAAGGAAAACACGATAAATTGGAAAATATGAGCAATAGCGAGGACTCGCAGCAGTATCTAAACGACATGATGGTCAAGGAGGAGGACGAGGCGTCTGGCGGTATAAGGAAATCATTTAAATACTAGAAATCCAATAGTAAAAACCATTTCACATTTCAACCCCGTGCAGACGAGTCAGACAAACAGGATGGAGGGATTATGCTCCGTGAACAAGACCGCTTTCTGCCCATCTGTAACATCATCAAGATCATGAAGGTGCCGGTGCCGCAGAACGGCAAGATCGCCAAAGATGCACGCGAATGCATCCAGGAGTGCGTCTCTGAGTTCATATCCTTCATTAGCAGTGAGGCCATCGAACGCAGCGTTGCCGAGAATCGCAAGACAGTCAACGGAGACGACCTTCTGGTGGCCTTCAGCAATCTGGGATTCGACAACTACGTGGAGCCACTGTCAATTTATCTGCAAAAGTACCGAGAGGTGAGTTGGGCATCTACAAAACCTGTATGATTTCTACTTCTGCGGATTTCCAGTCAAACAAATCGGATCGCAATCTCTTCCTGGAGGCCAGTTATTCACACAACGAAGATGCAGGCTCTGCGAGTGAGACGGGCAAGCAGTAGCATCCAGTTCACCTACCTTATAGTTACAGTTCAATAGGGTAGTTGTGGCATGAAACTGGAAATTATAGGATAATTCAAGAAGTTTCTTTTGAAACTGATGGTTCATTATTAATTTTAAGTCCCCCAATTTCCATTGAATGTACAATTAACTCCCTAATGCAATTTATTGTCAGTTTTTAGTTTAAAAACTTCCCCGCCAAAAATGTCAGATAGTGATTAATTACTACCTGTATATAATTTTTTGTTTATAATCAGTTAATGTGAGGACCCGCCCAAAACCATAGTCAAACTTAAGGTATATGTAATAATCAAGGATATTACATGTATATATATTAAGTACAATTACTAACGCAAAGAGCCAATATACAAAATTTTATTTAATTACATGCTAATTTATAAATAGAAAGTAAATATTTATAAGCAACACAGGGATATTAAGTGCACAAATAGTTATGTATAAGTTCATTTTATTCTGTAAAGGGTTTAATAAACATATATAACACATTTAAATATAGTTTTATTTTCGGCATCTCATCACAATCGGTCAGCCAAATCCACAATTTTTGGACCAAACGGATTTGGAAGTACCAGGCGAACAGAAAGCAGTAGTGGGTCGCTACTCTTTTTTTAAGATTTTTCAATTGATCTTAAAAGTATGCTTCAAATTTTGGTGAAAATGTGTACATCACATTTTGTGTTAGCCTCCAAAAGTATAATACAATTTCGATAGTTCTGGTTTATTTTTCATAATTAAGTATAACTATTCCCTAGGCTTATACTGTACATCTTAGATGCGAATTTAGTCAATTAACTATTGTTAAATTTTGAATCCAACGCTGTGTCCGTTCGCTGCCTAGGTTGATGCCATGTGGACTTTTCGGATGAGTCGGCAGACCAGTTTGCAGCAGGCCTTCTGTCTGTTTTCCGCACCAGCCAGGACCTAAAATAAAGTTACAAGAAAACATTAGTTATCATACGTTTTTAATTTTAATTTTATATTTTTTGGACGATTTTTTTTCCATTTTTAAGATACAACCCTCTACCAAATTTTTCTTTCATTGATTTTTCATAAATAAATGCATAGTTGAAATACATTTCATGAAAATCGGACGACTATATCATATACCATTACCTTTAAAATTAAAAAGTTTATGCTTGGAATGTCATATTAATCAATTTCTTTTTCTGTTCCTTTTAATGTCGACCCACCAAAAAATAAAATCCAAATTTATTAATTTCAGTTTGTTTTAAGTTTCACTTTTAGTAATATGTATATTTAGAAAAACTCCAACTATTATTGGGCCATCTACAAGTCTACACATATACGCTCTAAGATATTCCATATTGTATGTATGTATCTATAGTGTTTATATATATGTAGGTATCATGGAAACTAAAACACATTTTCTCACAGTTAAAGTACGTATGTATAAAAAGTAAAAACAAAAACTTAAGGAACATTGTGTGTTGTTTGTTTCTTTGTATGGCATTTCTCCGCTTAGGCCACTTACGAATTAATAACGCATTAAAATCACCGGTAGAGACTACGTGGTAAAAACTAGAAGACGTGATGTGTGGCATTGGTACAAAATGATTGTACAAAAAGGTCTATAAAATGGTACAGCTAAAACTAAAGCTAGACTAAAATGATTCCTTGTGTGTGTGTGGTTGACTAAACCAGCAGCATCTCGTCGTTGTCCATGGGCTCGTCCTTGAAGCGATTGCTGGTCGGACCAGTGCCGTAATCGCTGAGGAAAATGTTCGTGTCCTCGTGACTCAGATGCAGCGTGGGTATCGCTCCTGGACGCAGTTCACCCGGCTGGGCAAAGCAATGCGGCTCGAAGTGACGACAGCAGATGTGCTTGGAGTGGTCCCACTTTGGTATGGCCTCGATCTTGAGATTGTAGCACCATTTGGCGCGCTGGTTGCGCTGCTCCGGAAAGTCCAGCAGCGGCGGTTCCGCATTGTCGGCGCCGCAGAGGACGCAGCTGATCGTCCTGTCAGTGGGCAGGTGGACCGAGCAGATATGTTTACCCCTGTAACGCTGCGTGTCGGTGAGCCTGAGAGCCTGGCACCACTGCCTAAGCAGCGAAGGATCTGCAAAGATGATTGCTATTCATTTAATTCCTTCAATAATGAGTATCCTTTTTACCACCGGGAAACTTGTGCAGCTTCACATTTCCATTGTGATGACAGTCGGCCATGCAGCAGGTGGGCAGGGGCGCTGGAGGCTTTTTCTTCACCTCCTCCTTGACTCCTTGGGCACTCAAATGCCGCGTGGGTATGGCGTTGCGCATGAGACGCCTCACGCCAATCAACTCCGGCTCGAAGTGGCGACTGCAAATGAGGCGAGTGTTTCTCTGGGACTCCTTGAACACCATTCCCGTGGCAATCTCCCAGTTGCGGATGGAGGTGCGGTTGTTGGGCAGCCGGAACAGCTTGATGCCATCGCCGCGGAAGGCGCGACAATAAGGCAGACAACACTGCTTCACCTTCCAGGGAGGCAGCTGCCCAGGTGGCCAGGGATCCAGCTTGGAACGGCGCTCCCGCTTGATGCGAACCTCCGGCTCCACATCCTCGTTGCACTCGTCCTCCTCCTCCTCTTCCTCGTCCTCCTGCAGGCCGTCCTCCTCCTCGTCGCTGCCCGCCTCGCTGCGATCGGTGCTGAGTTCCTGGCACTGTTCGTTGGTGAAGAGCTTCTCCGGCACATTGTCGCCCAGCTCCAGAGTGGGCACCGCCCAGGGGCGCAGCTTCCTCAGGCTGATGCAGTGCGGCTCGAAGTGGACGCTGCAGATCATGAACTTCCAGGGACGCCGCTCGTCGTAGCGGATGCGCAGGTTGTGCATCCAACGCTCCTGCTGTTGCCGCGACTTGGGGAACTTGTAGATGTGCACGCCGTGCAGCGATCTCTGCCGCTGGCAGTGGCTCAGGGAGCACTTGTCGTAGCCGGACTTCACCTGGTTGTAGGACACCTTCTCCTGCTTGACGGGCAGGCGCAGTTGGCCCTTCCAGTTGGACGGGTTGAAGGGCATCGACACCACCCTCATCTTCTCCATCTCCTGATCCTCGTGCAGCTGCAGTTCGGGCTCCAAAAAGAGCATGGGCTCCTCGTCCTCCTCCCTCTCCTCTTTGATTTGGACGGCACACTGCTCTGCTCCAGACCGCTTGTCCAGTCTCAGGTTGATGGCCTCGAAGTCGTTGTCGAAGAGCTCGGCGGGCGCCTTCTCGCCCAGCTTCAATGTGGGCACACTTCCATGGACCAGTCGCATGTTCAGCAGGCAAACCGGATGGAAGTGGGCACTGCAGATGCGGTACCTCCATCTGTAGTAGGGATCGAAGGGCACCTGCGTGTTGTGCTGCCACTTGAGGCACATGTCCTCGGAGTGGGGGAACTTGTGCAGCGTCATGTTCTCGGTGGTCAGGTGGTTGGTGCATCCGTCTATCTGGCAGAACTTACTCGACTTTCGTGGCGGAGCTGGCGGTGGCAGGCAGAGTTTGGTCACCTCCTGAACTTTCGGTTCCTTACGATCCCCCTGCTGGATTTCAGCTGGCAAGGAAAGCTCTTCCGTTTCCTGCAACGCGAATTCGTTGTCGTACAACTTGTCCGGCCTTTTGGGTCCCAAAAGAAGCGTCGGCATCGCTCCCTTCTTGATCCTGGCACTCTGGAAGCACTCCTGATCGAAGTGGTAGCTGCAAATGCGATAGCGCCACCAGAACTTCTCGTCCATGTCCACCTGGGTGTTGTGCATCCACTTTTTGGCCGCTTCCGAAGATGCGGGGAACTTGTGCAGCTTGATGGTCCCGTCCACGTCCTCGATTGTCACCTGGCATCCTTCAACGGCGCAGTGATTGGCATTGTATTGGTTCCGAATGCCAGAGGATTGGTAGCTGATATGATCGTTGTAGGACTCGTCCATTTTCTCGTAGCTGTCCATTCGCTCCACGTGGCCCACCTCCAGTAGCACCTCCAGTGCCTGCATTTCCGAGCCTTCCTCCTCGGATTCAATGTGCTCCATCCTCACGATGGGTTCCAAAAGGGAGTTCTCCGTTTCACCATCTTCCCGATACTCTGTTTCCTGATCCTCCTCTTGATCGATGTCCCCGATCTCCTGGTTCAGTTTCGCGGTCATTTCCAGCCACACCTCTTTGCTGGGCACCTGGTGCACCGGCTCCGCTGGCAACTGCAAAGTGGGAACGCTCCAGGGATGCAGCCTTCTCTCGTCAAAGGAGCACTTCGACTCGAAGTGATTGCGGCACACCTTGAGCATGTATTGCTGCTGCTGCTCGGTGATCTCCAGCTGGCCATTCTCCACCCACATCCGCAGCATGTCCTTCCTCTGCGGCAATCCGTGCAGGAGAACCTTATCCCGGGGACGAATCATCCTACAACCTCTAACCGCACAGCTCACGATCTTCACCCGCCTGTTGCTCCGCGCAGAATGGTAATCATCCTCGAGGAATCGATTCGGTGTGTGTTCGGGAAAACTATTTTCACTCAGCTCGTAGAGAATGACGAAGTGCAGCGGGCACAGCAGTGCGACGCCATTCGGTGGCTCCTCAATGTCCAAATGGTGCAGCCAAGCTCTCCTCAGTTGCTCATCCTGTGGCAGATTAAAGGTGAGGTTCTTGGAGAGTTCCATGCACTCGGGGTAACAGCAATCCACATCCGAGTTAAGAGAGCGCTTTGAGAACTTTAAATTCCTGCCCAGACTTTGCTTGTCCGTTTGGAAAATATCCGGAGAGGAATGACCCAGTTCCAAAGTTGGCATTGCACCCGGTATCAAACCACTTTTATCAAAGAGGGAGTCCTCAAAGTGCCTACTGCAGACCTTCGGCCTGCCCAACTGCTCCTTGTTGGCTTTCAATCGGAGGTTATGCATCCATTTCTCGGCCAATGAGAATATTTTGGGAAACCCATTGAATGGTGTCTCTCCAAGCTGCCAGATGTTTCCACAACCAGGTGCACAACAAACCTCCACTTTGCTTTGCCAAAGATTTTCGGGATTGGGCAACATCTCTACCTCCTCATCATGTCCCAAATGGAGAGTGGGAATCGCACCAGGACGCAATCCCTTGCTGGCGCCAAAGCAAAACGACTCAAAGTGACGCTCGCAGATGAACTGCTCTCCCTGAATGAGTTCCATTGCGCCGATCTTCAGGTTGTTGCTCCAGGCTTCCAGTTGAGCAGCGGTCCTTGGCACCTTGTAGTGCCTGATCCGTTCCCCACTTGCATCCTTTACACATCCCGGCACCAAGCAGTGCCTCTCAATGTCATCCCGGCTCAACTCGAGCGTGGGAACCGATCCCTCAATCAGATCCAAGGATTCAGAATCGAAACACTCGGGTGCAAAGTGAGACTGGCACACCTTGAATCCGTGACTGCTGGCCTGCATGGAGCGGTGTCGACAGGCGGCTGCCCACTTCCGTATGGTGGCCATGTCCCTGGGATAATCGTAGAGCCGCACCCCCTTATCCTCCGCCTGGAAGCAGGTGAGCACGGAGCAGTAGCGTTCCCGAATGAACTTCATTGCCTGTTCGGTTTCCTGGCTATCAGCGATATTTCCATTGTGCCTGGCATTCGGGATCACATGACCGTCGTGACCGAGGTTCAAGGTGGGTTCCGCCCAGCTGCGCAGCTGCTTCTTGCAAATGGCATCCGGTTCGAAGTGGGACTGGCACACGTAGAGCTCCTGGGGATCCACGAGGCGCGGCTGCTGCTGCGTGTTCACCAGCCAGCGGAGCAATGCCTGTTCCTCGCTGGGAAAGCGGTAGAGCCGAACTTGACTGTTCCCGAACTGTCCGCACGTGGGAATACAGCATATCCTGATCCTTCCCCGCGGACTGGGACTCGCACTCGCACAAGGACTTCCCAGAGAGGCGAGATCCGTTTTGATCCTCAGGGGAGTCAGTCTAGAGTGGCTGTTTGGAGTTCCACTGCGTGACTCCTGCCTGGGATTCAAATGAATCCTGTCCTCGTGACTGAGATTTAAAGTGGGAATGGCCCAAGACTTGGGGTAATCCGATTCTAGGCAGGATGCTTCAAAGTGGTGCAGGCAGATGCGATAGCTCTTATGCCTCGCAGGATCGTAGGTTATCTTTGTGTTGTGCAACCATTTGAAAAGTTCCACTTCCTTGTCGGGAAGTTGGATGAGCTGGAGATTCTGTTCATTTTTCGAAGAGCATCCAGGCACAGCGCATTTCAGTTCTTGAGCAATCCACTGTAGCTCCTCCAGATTATCTGGGGATAACACTTTTGGCAAATCTACATTCTCAAACAGTTCCACAAAGTGATTTCCACATAGAAGACCCTCACTGCTTTCAGGCAACTGGAAATAGGACATCCATTCCTCTCTTATGATCGTATTTAAAGGCAAATCCACAAAGGTTGAGCAAAGGTCACTTGCACAGCTTTCCACCAGGCACTCTCCTTTGTTTCTGTAGATATTCCAACTCCTTTGATCCAATTTGAGGGTGGGTACTGCCTGCTCGTCAGGCTTTCCATTTGGCACAACCTGCTCCTCGAAATGCTCCAGACACACGCAACTTTCGCTGGGAATCGAGTCAAAAGGAAGCTTTAAATTGTGCTGCCACTTTCTTAGAAGAGTTCGCTCCTCGGGCATTGCAACTAACTGACTAACTTCCTCGTTTCCGCAACTGCTGATGCAACACTTCTCCAGCCTACTCTCCCTCGGATTCCCCGTTGGAGTCATCGCCTCCGTCTTCATCTCCAGCTTGATCTCCCGCTCCCGCTCCATCTGCATCTCCAGCTTCAGCCGCTGCATCATCTGCCACTTGTTCGGCCGGATGTCCGGCGGCTCCGTCAGCTTCCTCTTGCGGCAGTGTTTCAGGCTCCAAAGCCGAAAAACCGAGTGCTGTGGCTGCGCCTGCTCCTGATCCAGATCCCTGCCATTACAAGAGTACTTCAGCGGCTCATCGTGTCCCACATTCAAAGTGGGCACCGCATTTTGCTTCAGCTTACGCGTTCCCAGAACCTCCGACTGAAAGTGCTCAATGCACACGCGACCGATGCAGTCATCGGGATTCAGGTGCAGATTGGCGCACCACTTGAGCAGCAGCTGGCGATCCTTGGGGAAACCAAAGGTGCTTAAAAGGTGGAAAGCAGTGCGCTCCTTTCTGCAGTGCTTCAGACAGCAAATGGGAGTCACATTGTTGGCAGGCTTTTCACGGCGCAGAGGAGCCACTGGAGGAGCGGGTGGCAAGTCGGGCAGGAAGTGCTCCGCATCGTCCAATTCCTCTTCCTCATCCTCCCGTTCATCGTCCTCTTCCCCTCGATATTCGGCTTCATCATCGCTTGGATGTTCGGCAAAGGTCTCGACCAATTCGAGGGGATCGAAATAGTGCTCCTCCTTCTCATCTTCATCCTCGTTGTCCCGGTCGTGGTGATCCTCCTCAGCCTCAGCCTCAGCCACAGCGTCCTCCTCCTCATCATCGATCGGCTCCATTTTGGGTTTCAGTCGCGGCAACTCCGAGCTGCCCTCCTCATCCTCAGTCACGCCCACTTTAATAGCCTCATTGTCGTAGATTAATCCCTCATCGTGACCCAGTTTCAATGTGGGCACCGCTCCGGTTTTCAGCTTCAGTTTGCCCCGCACTTGGGCCTCAAAGTGATCCGCACAAATCCTGCCGCGGCATTGATCCGGCGCCAATCTGAGATTCGCGCGCCACTTCTCCAGGAGATCCTCACTTCGTGGATAGCGATACGTGCGCAGATCGTTGTCGATGCTCCGCCGCTTGCGGCAGTGATTCAGCGCACAGGTGGGCGTAAAGAAGCCCGGTATGTTCTTCGGGTTCTCGTAGATCGGCTGCTCCTGGTGGCCCAACTGCTGAGTGGGCATGGCCCAGCTCCTCAGCTGCTTGCCGTCGATGCAGCGCCGATTAAAGTGAGCACTGCACACCCGCGTCGAGCGATCCACTTCATCGGGTTCCAGTCGCAGGTTGTGGCGCCACTTGAGGTGCTGCTGCTTGCCGGTGGGAAACGGGAAGAGTCGTGCTCCGTGCTCCATGCGACTGCGTCCACAGCTGTGCACACAGCACTTCAAATCGGAAATGATTTTCCTTAACTTCACCTGGAATAAATGCTGGTTAATAAATAATAAAATTTCTCATCTAAATGGGTAACTGACCTGTCTGGGATGAGAATCTCTATCCTGCGACAAGATCGCCACATCCGGCTTCACATCTTCCGACTCGGAGAGCTCCTGCTTGATGCTGCTTATGCTTCCCGATTCCTCATGCACTCGCCTCTGGCGTCCAAAGAGGTTACTCTGCAGCTCGGCTGGATTAACCTGGAACAAGTCCTCCGTCTCGTCGTGACCCAGCTCCAAAGTGGGAATCGATCCTATGTTCAGCCGCGTCTTGCCAATGCAGATGTCCTCGAAGTGGGCGTTGCAGATCTTGTACCGCTCGCGTTCCAGGAAGTTGAGGTGCTCCAGGCGGAGGTTGTGCTGCCAGCGCTGGAAGAGCTTCGGATCCTTGGGAAAGCTGTTCATCTGCACCTCGTCGAAGCGACGCGTCTTTCCGCAGGTGGGCACAATGCACTTGAACACCGGATCCACGTACCGGTCCTCTGGCTTCGGGTTCGGTATCAGTTCGATCTGCGCATCGTCGTGGCCCAGCTCCTGGGTGGGAATGGCCCACTTGTACAGGTGCTTGGGTCCAATGCAGTCCGCCTCGAAGTGCTTGTTGCAGATGCGCACTCCCGCACAGTCCACCGGGTTCATCTTGAGGTTGTTGCACCACTTCCACAGCATGTCGTCGTCGTCGGTGGGGAAGCGGAACAGTCGCACCTCCGACTGCTCCTTGGACGCCTCGCATCCCTCCACCACACAGTGCTCGTCCACGAAGGCCTGCGCCTCGTTGGGATAGATGTCGTCGTCGTCGTGGCCCAATTCCAAAGTGGGAATCGCACCAGCACTCAATCTCCTTCCATTAAAGGAATGCGTCTCAAAGTGGCGGGAGCAGACACGGTACTGAGCCCTCATCGCCGCCCGCGGACGCGTCTTGATGTTGTGCATCCACTTGCGCAGCTGCGTGGGACTGTGCGGCAGCCGAAAGAGCTGGACGCCCTGCGCCCGCGTCTTGCGGCAACTCTCTACAATGCACACGCGCTGCAGGCACAGCTTGCTGGCCTTCAGCTTGGCGGGATTCTGGTAGATCTTCAGCCCAGGTGGGGAGTTCAAATCGAGTGTGGGCACCGCCAGCGGCACCGGACACTTTTTGCTCAGCACATGCGGCTCGAAGTGAGCCGAACATAGCCGCCTCTGAGCACTGCCCACCATGGGAACCTGCAGATTGTGCGCCCACTTCGCCAGCGTCGAGCGATTCACCTTGGGAAAGCGGTAGAGTTGGACATTGTGGAGAGCTCGAACCTTTCGGCAGTGTGGAAGACAGCATCTGGGCACCCAGGTGGGCTTAACCGAAGCGGGCAGTTTGGTCTTTGTGTGGGTACGCCGCTTGTACAGCATCGAGTGCTCCGGGTTCTCGTAGAGATTCTCTATGTTGCCGGCCAAATTTAGAGTGGGTATCGCCCAGGGTCTCATCCGCTTGCCAATGCAGTGGGCTTCGAAGTGCAGATTGCAGATCCGCATGCTCGTCAGCTGACTGGCCTCCGTCTGCAGGTTGTGCGCCCACTTGGCCAGCACGGAAGCCTCCTCCGGCGGTCTGTACAACTTAATGTCATCCACACTGGGATTTCGCTTGCAGGTCTCCACACAGCACTCGCCCTGCTCCTCGCCATTATTTGGTGCAGTTGGACGAGCATAGAACTCGGCCACTTGCTCTGGAGTGGGCAGCGGGTAGGGGATGTTCTCGTGACCCAGAATCAGTGTGGGCACGGCCCACTTCTCTAGCCTCTTGTTGCGCAGGCAGCGATCCTCGAAGTGCACCTCGCAGATGGCGTCGTTGAAGAGCTTGCTGCCATCCGGAACGGGACGCTGAAGATTGCCACACCACTTGGTCAGCAGGGAGACGTTGCTGGGGAAGCGATGCAGATTGGCATGATCCCTGTCGCGATTCCTCTTGCAGACGGCCACGCAGCAGGTTTCCCTGATGTTCAGCTTCTTGATAACATCCGGATTGCGGTGGATATCATCGTCGTCGTGACCCAACTGCAGTGTGGGCACCGCAAACGGACGCATGCAGCCCCCGATGCAGTAGGGCTCGAAATGCAGACTGCAGATCCGCATGCCCTTGTGCATCTTCTCCTCGGGAATCTTCAGGTTGTGGCACCACTTGCGCATCTGCTCCGGCCGCCGCGGGATGGTGTGGAATGTGATGTTCTCGTTGTTGTGCCGCTTGCTCTCGCAACTGGGCACGCAACAGATGTCCATGCTGTCGCTGGCATTCAAAGCCGCTGATCCACCGGCACCCATGGCCAAATAGGAGGCACTCAGCTCCGGATCCACGTAGTGAGAGGTGGCCGAACTGGCCGAGGACGAGGTGGAGGCCGCCGAATGGCGCTGGTAGGATTTGCTGTGCAGCTGCTGTTGCAGCGAGTGCTGCGAAGTGTGATGCTGCGACTGCAGCTGCTGGAGGCCACTGCCGTGACTGTTTGAGGGCGTTGGCGGTGGCCAAAGCTCATTCTCGTAGATGTTGAAGGTGTCAGTGTGGCCTAAATGAAGCGTAGGAACAGCACCTGAAAGAAGGAGAAGAAATTACATATATTATTTGGCTTCTTCTTTGTAGAATAAACTTACCCGGTGAAAGTTTCCTAAGACCCAGGGCTTCCTTAATGAAGTGAGCGCTGCATATCTTGTGATTCTTCCCGCGATATACGCCCGGATCCAGGCGAAGATTGTAGCACCAGCGGCGCAGGAGCACCTCATCTCTGGGAAATCGATATAGCGACATATTGAAGTCAGAGGATCTGCTCCTGCGGCAAAAGTTCAAGCAGCAGCGCTTCTCCTCCACATACAAGTTCTTGGGGTTGTCGTGGATCTTCCCATATTGCGCACCCAGGTGCAAAGTAGGCACCGCCCAGGGCTTCAGTCGGAACTTGCCGATGCAGCGCTCCTCGAAGTGGCGACTGCAGAAGTGGCGCGGCTCCTTCGCCTGTACGGGAAGTCGTGCGTTCTGGCACCACTTGATCAGGCTCTTGATGTCCTTGGGGAAGTTGTAGAACTTCAGGTTGCTCTCGCCCCGCTGACTGGTGCAATGCGGCATGCTGCAGCGCGCCACTTCGCCGGTGGTGAAGGTGTTGGTCAGCTCCCGATTCTGGTAGAGATTCGCCACGTCGTCGTGGCCGAGATTAAACGTGGGCACAGCCCAATAGCACAGAGAGTATCGGTTGATGCAGCGCTTCGGAAAGTGCATGCTACAGATCCGAAAGTTGGCATAACTGGCGGCGGGTATGTGGAACATCTTGAGGTTGTGCAGCCACTGGTTGAGGTACTTCTCGTCCTTGGGAAACGTAAAGAACTGCAGCGTTGGGCTCGTGCTCTTCCGCACGCCGCACAGCGGCACACAGCACAAGGCGTCCTCCGAATCGTCCAGCGTTGACGAATGTGCCTGTGGTCCAGCGATGGCTCCGCCGTGGATTGAACTATCGCTGCCATAGGCATTGTTGTAGTTGTTCTCCTGAACGCTGTACGACGACTCGCTGGTCGAATTGCTGTAGCTGCGCTCCAGCTTTACATTCACCTCGTTCTTCATGGCGGATGCGGCAAACATGGCCGCTCCATCCGCGTTTGCTTGACGCTGCTGAAGCAGCGAATTCAGAGCAGCCGTCGCAGGCAAAGATGAACTGGATGGATTCGATTTGTGGTGCGGGGCGGTGGGCACTGAAAAGAAGAGAAAAATATTAATAAAATCGCTTATCTTTCAATTAGTCTGGAATTTGCTGCATTTCTGATCAAACACCACAACATATTAGTTCTTTTGAGAATTTTGAATAACAGAAGGTCACATAATCAAACTTTTAACATTAACCAAGCAACAAATTTGTATTATAAGATCTTGATGCTTTGCAGATGTAATAGCAAACTTACTTTCCATAGTGGCCATATGGCAATCCTGCAGCTTGTAGTTCGTTTGATTCTGATGCTGCTGCGTCTGCGACTGGGAAGCAGCAGACGACTGTCCTCCCGTGTAGTACTTGCCACAAAAGTAAGGAGCTGCCAGTCGGTGTTCGTGGAGTTCGAGGGCCGTTTGGTACCACAATCGGCAGATGGGACAGTCGAACCGCTGCTGGAACTTGTGCTGCGGCAGGTGGGCGTAAAGCTGCTCTCGAGTGGCAAAGGTTCCCGAGCACATCTGCAAAACAGATTATTAATTATACAGTGTTTACAATAAACCCCGATTTAAGCTTCTTACGTTGCAGACAAAGCTGTCGTACTCGTGCTGCATGTACTCGTGTGCCTCGCACTCTGCGATCGTATCGAAATACTTGCCACAGTATTTGTGGCAGAAGAATCTGTCCGATCGGTGGAGGTGCTTGTGCCTTTGCAGCTCCTCGGCGGTCATGAAGGACATGGGACAGGTGCTGCACTTGAAGTCGTACTCCTGTATGCCACAATTGCTTTCGGCCACATGCCGCAGGTAGATCTGTTTCTTGAAGAAGACCTCCTTGCAGCGCTGGCAAATTGGTAAGCTTTCGGCACTGCGATCGGATTGCTGCTTTCGCCGCATAAAGCTGTTGGAATTCTGAAATAAAGATGCAGATAATTAGCTAATTTGCTATTCAGGAAGTCCTTTTTAACTCACTCTTCCATAGGACTCATCCTTGACGGTCAGCTCCACTTTGGGACTCAGCATGTCCTCGCTGAATTCGCTAAACTTGCTAAAGTCAGCAAATGGCGTATTGTCGTCTATATAGTTGGACTTGTAGGAATGTTCGTCAATGGGTTCCGCTGTAGAATAAAAATATTTTTAGGTCTTTTTTTTATGCATTGTTTATGTATTTATAAAGTTACATAAAAAGCAAAACTAAATACTTTAATAAAACAAAATAAAAAAACTATTCGAGAAAACCCTGCGCAGATGGAAAATTCTGTACTCAATGTTTGTTTCTATGGTTTCGAATTGTTTTTGAACTCCCCTTTGGTTGCTGATAAGGATGAATTGCGCCTACATTAAATTGATAGATAACGGAGTGCTCTGCAGACAAACAGATATTTCTTCTATTTACATTATTTATGGTGGCAACTTAGCCTTTGGACGTTTGAACTAAACAAAATAATAATATTTAGAAATATAAATGGTATTATTGATTAAACAAATAATATGAAAGAGCACCACTGAATAGTAATTCTGTATTTTTCCATCTTCCTAATGCATAGGAGTTCAACCAAGAGACACTAAACTTATTTATTATAGTAATATAATTGTGTTTGATGTATGTGTGTATTTTGTGCGTACCTAATAATATTTGTTTTACTCTCTTGATTCTGCCCCGCCCTAACGCCCATTTAATTGACAGTGCGGGGAGTTCGGGGCGGAACCAATAATTTTCAGGTTAGTCTATGGGAGCACGTTACATAAGATGCCACTTGGAAGACGGTCCCCCACAACCCTTTCCGAAAAACGAAACGAAGAGGGAGATGATATGCACACTTATTGGATGTGTACGTTCATCGTACGTTCATATATACATATCGAACTGAATAGGTTGTTACGCCGGTAGTATAAAGCATCTATCCGAGTATACATTTGCTAAATGGATACATACAGACAACCGTACCGTACCGTACTTTCGCACATACCGAGAGATAGAGATACAGAGCCGTAGGTTGACGAGCGACAGAACCGAATCCCAATCCGAAAACCATCCGAACGAAACAAGCGCCAAACCTCAGCGAAACTCAACAAACGTTTTATTGATTCGACGCCAAAACGGAGCTGAAATTACGCTACTTATAGGAAAATGGCCCCAAGTAAATTTAGTGTGCGTGTATTCTGTATCTGTTTCTATGGGAAAATAGATTTTGCGCTTAACTTAACTGAATTGTTCTGCTATTTGAAAGGGTTTTATATTTAAATACTTTTGGGCGTTTGGGTTATAATATTATCCTGGCTTATCTAAAGGAATAAGTATGGATGTTGTTTATTAATTGCCGAGGGGATTGCCGCCTATTTGACAGTTGGCCAAAATAGCTATGTAATATGTAACACAAAAAGATTTATATATGTATGTTATTTCTGTTTTTAAATAGGGGACGATTTTTTAAGTTGGTGCGATATTTGTTGTAAATATTCAAAAACCAATGTTCGTTAATCCTTTTAATTATTATTAATTAATTTAAATTTAAAATTTTTTTCGCACACTATATTTATTACTTTTATGTGCGGTAGGAACCCTTTCATGTATACACAAAAACACTGATGTAAAAGCACATACATGCATTACAAATTACATACAAATACTGACAAAATAAAATGAGTAACTAGTTGATTAAGTAATATTTGCAGGATATTTTACAGATATTCTTTAGGATTATATATTTAAATTTAACTAACTTGATTATTTTTAGATGAATACTCACATTTAATTAATATTTCTGGCGCCGGGGGCGGGGCCATGGGATTTGGGGGCTGCTGGAAGGCTTCCATTGGTTCGCTCTTGATATAGGGATAGCTGCCGGTGGTCATGATATCGTGGCCCATATAGGACCTCTGCGGGTTGAGATGCTGCGGAAGTTGCTGATGTTGTTGCTGCTGCTGCTGTTGCTGTTGTTGGTACTGCAGCAGTTGGTTGTGGGCATATGCCACTGTATTGGCCCCAAGGCCATAACTCGGCCCACCGCCCACTCCCACGCCCACCGCCCCACTGACATTGAGGCCACCGCCAGCGGCGCCATAATAACCCTGCACCCCATTGCCACCGCCGCCCCCCGGCCCATAGGCCCCTCCTCCCATGTTGTTGTTGTTGCTGTTACTGCTGTTGGCGGCCTTGCAGGGGGGTGCGGGCGGTGGTGTTGGAGCGGGGTGGCCGAAGGCCGAGTGGGGTGTGGGGTAGGAAGCAACATGTGAGTACCAATTGGCGTGCTGCTGCTGCTGTTGCGTTTGCTGCTGCTGCTGTTGATGCTGCTGCTGCTGCTGCAAGGACATGGGCGTCGCAGGGGGCGTATGATAGTGATGGGCGTAATGCGGGTGGGCGTGATGGGGGTGTTGTTGTGACATCACGAACGGCTTGTTGTCTGTTTATCCTGCCCCTCGAATCGCGTCGCCTGCTTTTTGTTGTTTTTGTTTCTGTTTTATTGTTGCCCTTTTTATATCCCGGAGCCAAGTTAGGGGCGCGTTTGCTCTCTTTTTCGCAAGCTTTTGGCGTCTTTTATATACCAGTTTTTCATCGGGCCTCGTCTGTGTGTATGTATCGAACTGGCATTGTTGTTGGCGCTATTGTCCTTCGGCACTTGCATTTTATCCCGGCGAACTCACTTTACACATGGCACTCTGCAACTGCCCTGCAATTGCAAATATTATTGGCTCTCGGCGGGCGTGGGATTTTAATCATTTTATTTTATTTATTTTTTTGCTCCCGAACGCGCGACGAATGTAACGTTCAGCGAGGCACAACAACAAACTGTTTGTGGAGCGCACTTAGCGATGGGGCCAACTGGTTATCGATAGCCAATGGGGGTTGTCCATCGACATGGGAGCTTATTAATCGCTTCCGAAGCTTTCACAGTATTTTTGAATGCGGGAAGGATGTCTTTTAAATGTAAACCGTAAGCTTTAAAAACATAAACAAACATTTAATGAATAAAAAACATATGCGGCGTTACCAAACATCGATTTAAATTTTAGCCATGTTCTTTGTTTAACTTTTACAATCGACACTTAAAACTAAGTAATTTTGGGACCCACTACGCCCACGCGCTGCTTGAGTTGCTCCTTGATCTGCTCCTCGTCCGCCAGAAACTGTTTTTCAGCCAATCGCACTAGCGTCCTTCTCAACTGGGACTTTACTTGCGTTATTTTAGTCGAGTTTATCGCCGATATTGGCACTATACTCTCGAACTTAAGCACTTGTTGTGGTCGCAGTTCCTCGGGACACTGGTCCAATCCGCTAGCCAGGTCGTTAATGATTGGCTTTACTTTAGTCAAGATATCGTGGGCGCCGTCCTTGTCCATTTTGTTGAGCAGCAGAACACTAGGCTTTTCTAGTAAAGATGGATCGTAAAGCTCCAACTCTCGGTTTAACGCATAAATATTAGCCACACAATCTCGATGTGGGTGCCGAGGACTCAGCTGGAAGCCGAAAATATCGACCATCAGTACCAACAGGCGGGTGCGTTCCACATGTTTAAGAAACTTGTGGCCCATGCCAAAGTTTGCATGGGCTCCCTCGATGAGCCCAGGAAGATCGGCTACGGTGATGGAGCGCAGATCTTTATACTCGATGGTTCCAATCTGGGGCCGAATTGTGGTAACTGTGTTTTAAATTTATAAATAAATAGCGTCCCTCAAATAATCGTGGAAATGGGAATTACTCACATGGATAAGCTGCAATCTTGGGTTTGGCATTGGATACCGCCTTCAGTAGCGTACTCTTTCCAGCATTGGGAAATCCCACAAGTCCCACATCTGCAATCAGTTTCAGATCCAGATTCACTGTGCGATTCTCGCCAGGACGACCGATGAAATCAGTGGCCGGGCATCCGCCGATTCCTCCGCCCGCCACAATGCAGGTGGCTTCGTTCTGGTCAAGATCGGCAATGAGTTTCTGTCGGTCATCATACACCTGAACGCCAACCGGCACTTCAATCTTCTGGTCTACTCCACGGCGCCCGAAAATGCTTGCCTTGCTGCTGTCCTCGCCGCTGGAGGCGGCTACCCGCTTGTCCTTCAATCCCTGGACAACTTTGCGAAGGGTCAGGCCTTCCTTGGCTACGAAATAGACGCATCCGCCTTGGCCGCCCACTCCTCCGTATTTCGGCAATCCGTTTCCGCCATGTCCTCCGCGAACCGCTAGACGCAGCGTGTCCAGGAAAGTGGGCCGGAAATGGGCGCGGCCAGGCTAGGTATTAAGGAATATTTGTTTTAGATTTATTTCAGTAATTTCAGCTTTGTTCTTACAGATTTGTGCGATTTTAACAGGAATTTAAACAGCTGCACCATCTCACCGGTAGCATTATACAACAGTGATGCGCATTTCGCTTAACAGTGACTTTTTACAGATATGACGAAAACTTCACATAAAATAGTTAATTTATCAAAAGCTTTTGTCTAAAACTTCGAAATCCGTTGGCGGAGAGTGAAAATTTTGCACCGTTTTTTTGTTATTAACAATTAAAGATGCAATTCGTAATACAAATTCGGATCTGAGTGACCATATTTGCATGTGATGTGCCGATTATTGCAGTCGTCTGGTGGCGGATTATTGCAAATACGGTCACTCAAATCCGAATTTGTACTACAAATTGCATCTTTAATTGTTAATAACAAAAAAACGGGGAAAAATTTTCACTCTCCGCCAACGGATTTCGAAGTTTTAAATTTATAAATGAACACATCGTTTCCATATTTTACTTTATTTTTTTAAACTGTATTTACCGTGCACCGCACTTGTAAACAATTGCCATTTGTGCATCTCTGAAGGCTAGGTATCTTTTTAAAGTTAGATTTTTTAAGTATTTTTTGGTGACATCGGCACAGATACAAATTACTCCAGCTCGGTCACACTTCGCTAAACTTCGGGTGATTAATTTTGTGCATTCTTCATAAAAAAAGTTTTTTTCCACAACGCTCTGCTCTTCCTGCTTAGGGAATTCGAGAATCCATCCTAGCAACGCCAGCTTAATCGTGTAGACGGCCCAGAGTCCGCGATTAAAACCAGAGCGAAGTGCAGCCAGCAAAAAACAACGCCCACTTGGTCTCAGCGCAATCCGGCGAACTAAACTGAAACTACGTGTGTGGTTGGTTGGACGAACTCTCTGCATTCCGATTGCATTTAGCCTCCCACGATGGCCGAGACCTACACCTTTGGCACCTCGCTGGCATCCATCACCTGCCATGCATGGAACAAGGATCGTACCCGTAAGTGCCGATATATGTAGGTTACTCATCCGCGACCGTGACTCACCCACTTTCAACCCGCAGAGATTGCCTTATCGCCCAACAACCATGAGATTCACATATACAGCCGAGAGGGCAGCGACTGGAAGCTCGCGGATGTGCTTAACCAGCACGATCTGCGCGTCATGGGAATCGATTGGGCCAAGAACACCAACCGAATCGTAAGCTGTGCAGCCGATCGGAATGCCTACGTCTGGACGCAGGGGGAGGATGGAAAGTGGAAACCCACGTTGGTGCTGCTGCGTATAAACCGGGCGGCCACCTGTGTCAAGTGGTCGCCGGCGGAGAACAAGTTTGCCGTGGGATCGGGGGCTCGGCTGATCTCCGTGTGCTACTTCGAGTCCGAGAACGATTGGTGGGTGTCGAAGCACATTAAGAAGCCTATCCGCTCGACGGTCACCTCGCTGGACTGGCATCCCAATAACGTCCTTCTGTTGGCCGGCTCAACGGACTACAAGGTGCGGGTTTTCTCGGCCTTCATCAAGGACATTGAGGAACCGCCTTCGCCTACGCCGTGGGGCAACCGTAAACCCCTTGGTCAGATGATGGCTGAGTTCCGTAACTCGCAGACCTCTGGAGGCGGTTGGATCAACAGCGTGAGCTTTTCCAGCGACGGAAATAAGGTCTGCTGGGTGGGACACGATAGCTGTGTGAGCATTGCGGACGCAACCAATGGCAACACGGTGATCCGCTGCCGCACCGGCTATCTGCCGTTCCTCTCGTGCGAATGGGTTTCGCCCACGTCCGTCGTTGTGGCCGGATACAGCTGCGTGCCGCTGCTTTATAGCCTTACTGCGGACGGGAAGCTGGTGCTGAGCGGCAAGCTGGACAAGTCGCAGAAGAAGGAGTCCAGCGGTATTACCGCTATGAGGATCTTCCAGTCGATGGACCGCAACATGCGCACGGAGAATACGGACACGGTGGTTGACTCCATCCATCAAAACGCGATCACCAGCGTGCGATTGTACGCCGGCGACAAGGCGAGCGCCAGCAAGGTGTCGACCTCAGGAGTCGATGGGCAGCTGGTCATCTGGAACGTGGAACAGGGCGGCATCAACGGCGGTATGCGCAACCTGCAGATCTAGTTCGGTCCGGAACGGAACGGTCCAGCGTTACGTGTTATTGTCTGTTAGCGAGTGTGTTGGCCTGGCCAGAAGTGCAGTATTTGCCAAAATGTTTTCCAAAATCGCTTTTCCCATTGTTCTGTACCGTGCGAAAGCTTTTTTTACATAAATTAACCGAAGAGATTGTTCTTTTCCCCCACTTCCATAATGGTTCCGAAAGTCTGTGTGTGTGTTTTAAAGTGTTTCACCTTTATAGCAAACTGAATAAAATGTTTTTTATTCGTATTTGTTCTCTTAATTGATATCTTGGGGGACTTAAATGTATTACATTTCATTGGTTAATGGCATTCGGTTCATGTTACCTCTCAAATAATGTGCGTAAATTGAGTGTATGACTTAAATTGAATGACTAATATTACTAATTTGTAACTTATAAATTTATCTTTTTAAAAACGTTTTTAACGGAAATTTAAAATTTGTTAAGTGTGACCGCCGCTGAACCGCAAAAAAATATCTGAATTGCCGGCAATCTACAGGGGATTGAGTGGCCGCCTGCTGAACTTCTGTTGTTTAAAAGGATGTTTATTCCAATTAATCCAAGATGCAGATCCTCCTGATTAGAAATTTCGCCAGCAAGGTCAGCCGAGAGCACTATGCCAGCAGCAGCCTGAAAATTTACCGCCGAATTAGGCCACCGCCAAAGGTAAACAAACCAAAAAAGACGGAAAGTTTGGTGGGACAACCGGAATATGCGGAGAATCTTGTGAAGGTGCAGATGATTTCGAAGAATCTGCACTCGCAGTTGTTTCCCCAATCCCCTCGCTCCATTTCAGAGCAGCAGGTAGCCTCCGCTAAGGTTTACCAGGATGAGTTGCGCAGACATGGTGTCGACATCGAGAGCTGTGATCCTGTGCCCGATGTCCAGTTGAAATTACCTCCTTTAAGGGGGGCCAATATCGAGGATCATTTTCACAACATAGCTAAGGAACAGGTGTACCCTTATGAGGAGCTACTAACGCCATTGGTTCAATGCGAAGAACTTCCAAAGCGCCCAAGGAAATGGGCCTTCTTCACCGGATGGACTGCCTATGATCCCGAGGATGGTAAAGTTTCCCCAGTGGATTACCCGCTGGAAAAGGGACTTATCTTCGATGTCGAGGTGTGCGTTAAGGAAGGACAGGCACCAGTTTTGGCCACCGCCGTCAGCACTAAGAGATGGTACTCCTGGGTGAGTCCTAAGCTTACCAAACACCGGCTAAGTCTTCCGAAAACCGAGCCCCTGGATGTGGACACGGATACAGAGCGACCTCACTACTCCCCCGATGAACTCATTCCTCTGGGAACCAGGGGACCTGGTCTGGTGGTCGGACACAATGTCTCCTACGACAGGGCGCGACTAAAGGAGCAGTATTTAATCGAGGATACTGGCACCCGGTTCGTTGACACCATGTCGCTGCACATGTGCGTCAGTGGAGTGACGAGCTACCAGCGAGCCATGCTAAAGTCCAAAAAGGAACCGGCTCCTGAGGATCTGGGTTGGCTGGAGCAGAGTTCCCTGAATAGTTTGGTCGAGGTGCATCGCCTATATTGTGGTGGAGAACCCCTTTCGAAGGAGCCGAGGAACATTTTCGTCGAAGGGACTCTGGATCAAGTGCGTCAGAACTTCCAGTCATTGACCAACTACTGTGCCGGTGATGTGGAGGCCACGCATCGCGTGCTCCGAGTTTTATATCCATTGTATGCCGAGCGTTTTCCTCATCCTGCTTCGCTGGCTGGCATGCTGGAAATGGGCTCCGCCTATTTGCCAGTGAACTCCAACTGGGAGCGTTACATCCGCGAGGCACAGCTCACCTACGAGGATCTCAGCATCGAGGCGAAGTACCATTTGGGACGCAGAGCTGAGGAAGCTTGCTCTCTGCTTCTTGATGATCAGTATCGCCAAAATCTTTGGCTGTGGGACGAAGACTGGAGCGTGCAGGAACTCAAATTAAAGCAGCCGCCGAAGCGGAAGCCTTTGCCTAGGGAAGAGCGTCAGGACTTTGGAACAACAGCTGAGCAGCGTCGCCTCCAAGTAAAGTTCCAACACCTCTACGATCAACGGTCACTGCTTCCAGCTCGAAGACCTTTGCTTCCTGGATATCCTTTGTGGTATCGTAAATTGTGCCGCAAGCCACCGAGCAAAAAGGAAGATGAAATTCTAGAGGAGGAAGAGGAGTCGTGGTCCCCGGGAGCCAGCGAGATCAGTACTGGCATGCAGATTGCCCCCAAGTTGCTTTCCCTTTGCTGGGAAGGATATCCCCTGCACTACGAGCGGGAGCAAGGTTGGGGTTTCCTGGTTCCCTTTCGCAGTGATGCGGAAGGAGTAGACCGACTGCCCATGGAGCAACTTTTGGCGCGCTGCCCAGTGCCGGAGTTTGCTCGACAATCTGCCTCGAAGTTGGAAAGTGATATGGCTTTTGATATGCTGCCTGGTCAGGTGGAACAGCATTTGGGAAAGAGAGAGCACTATAAGAAGGTATCCCAGAAGCAAAAGCGTTTGGAAACTCAATACCAAGGTAGTAATAAAAAAAAAATATAAAATTATATAATTGCAATAATATTACTTCGTTTTAAGGTTCTGGTGTCTGGTGCAACAAAGTGCTCGAGGATTCTTGCTTCTTCCTCAAGCTTCCACATAAAAACGGACCATCCTTTCGCGTGGGTAACCCCCTGTCCAAGGACTTTCTTAACAAGTTTTCGGAGAACGTCTTGAGTAGTGGAGATCCTTCTTGTCAAGCTGCCGCCCGTGTTATCGACATTGCACGCATGATGTCCTATTGGCGAAACAATCGCGATAGGATCATGGGTCAAATGGTTGTGTGGCTGGATCCACAGCAACTGCCCAAGGAACTTACTGCAGAGAACGCCCAGCACACTTCCTACGGAGCCATTTGCCCGCAGGTCGTAGCTTGTGGCACATTAACCCGGCGTGCCATGGAACCCACATGGATGACGGCCTCGAACTCGCGACCTGATCGCCTGGGATCGGAACTACGTTCAATGGTGCAGGCTCCGCCGGGCTACAGGCTGGTGGGTGCCGATGTCGACTCACAGGAACTGTGGATTGCTTCAGTGCTGGGCGATGCCTACGCTTGCGGAGAGCACGGAGCCACGCCCCTCGGTTGGATGACTCTAAGTGGCAGTAAGTCGAACGGCAGTGACATGCACTCCATCACTGCCAAAGCGGTGGGCATTTCCCGTGACCATGCCAAGGTAATAAACTACGCACGTATCTATGGAGCAGGTCAACTGTTCGCGGAGACACTGCTACGTCAATTTAATCCCACCTTCAGTGCATCCGAGGCCAAGGCGAAGGCTATGAAAATGTTTTCTATCACCAAAGGCAAGCGGGTATATCGCCTGAGAGAGGAGTTCCACGACGAACTGGAGGACAGACCGTATGTAACTAACTATACAGGCACTTAAAAAGAGAACATCTTAAGAGTTGTGCTATTGATTGCAGTTATACCAGCTATGAGGCTTCCCGACTTGCTATACAGCGCAACCGAACCCTTTCCGAGGTGTTTTATAGACCCAATTGGCAGGGTGGCACCGAAAGCGCCATGTTCAATCGGCTGGAGGAGATTGCCACGAGGTCACAGCCGCAGACACCGTTCTTGGGGGGACGCCTCAGTCGGGCATTGGAGGCGGATGGAGGTCCCGAGCAGGAGCAACGTTTTCTGCCCACTCGCATCAACTGGGTTGTGCAGAGCGGAGCCGTGGACTTCCTTCACCTGATGCTCGTCAGCATGCGGTGGCTAATGGGTCCTAACGTTCGTTTCTGCCTGAGCTTCCACGACGAATTACGATACTTGGTCAAGGAGGAGATGTCGGCAAAAGCTGCGCTTGCCATGCACATCACCAACCTAATGACGCGGTCTTTTTGCGTTTCCCGCATTGGACTCAAGGATCTACCGATGTCGGTGGCCTTCTTTTCGTCAGTTGAAGTGGACACTGTGCTGCGCAAAGAGTGCACCATGGACTGCAAAACGCCATCGAATCCGCATGGACTGCGAATTGGTTATGGAGTACAACCAGGTCAAAGTTTAAGTGTAGCGGAGGCAATTGAAAAAGCAGGTGGCAATGATCTTAGTCAGTGGGATTGGATTAAGAAGGATTAGCTTTTAGAAAAACTTAACTTTTACCAATACCTGCCATGTTGTTAAATAACTTAAGTTCGGTTAGTAGTTCCTCTGAAATATAATAATGTAATAATAATAATAAGCTATCAATGCTAAGAATATTTTACTAAAGTATACTGCATAACGTGCATAACTTTATTTTTGACTCAATGTTTAAAGCAAGCAAAACGAAAGAAACTACCTCGTTGCATTTATCTGAAACTAAATGTTATTGAAGAATTTCTGTTGTTAAATTATTGTTTATCAGTTCCCAATAAAAGACTACATTTTAGTCTAAATCAAATGACCTATAATTATGTATGTATTTTGTTCATTGTTTCAGGTAATACTTAACATCCGAAAGAATATACAAACGTGGGAAGTTAACAATACACTAGAAGATATAAACGGCATAAGCCTAAAGAGAATGTTGTCAACACTTAACCTCATAACATGCTTTCGCTATCATATTCACATAGTTTACAAGCTCTGACCCAGCGACTCGATCTCATCCAGGAAGTAAGTCATGTCGGACTCCTCGAGACAGGAGTTCTGCAGCACCAGGCGGAAGAAGTTGGGAAGCTGTCGCAGCGGCTGATAGGTGATCATCATGGAGCCCTTTTTGATCATGCCCTCCTTGACTTTGGGTGCCACCTTGTGCAGGCGATCGTAGAACTCCCGATTGCGCTCCATTTGCCGCAGACCAGGTGGCACGTACCAGAAGCTGATGTTCGTGCACTCGGGACTCTCGAGCACCAACTCGAATCCTGGGCGTTCCCTCACCTTGGCGGTAAAGAACTCGGCCATGCGGAATACCTTCTCGACATGAGCCTCCAATCCCTGCGTTCCCTTGGCCTTCCACATGAACCAGAACTTGAAGACATCCGCTCGACGGCCGCATTGGATGTGCTTATCGCCGGTGTCAAAGGAGGTGTCATAGAACTTGTCCTTCTGGAACAAGTAGGTCGCATTGGTCGAGTGGCACTGGGCCAGAACCTGTTGGTGTCGAGTGAGGAAAGTGGAACACTGCTGCGACGCAGCTAGCAACTTGTGCGGATTCCAGGTCACCGAATCAGCACTGTAAGGAATCACTTCTTAATTTCCAAGCTCAAAGGAATATCTTCCAGATTTAAACTCACAGCTCGATGCCACTGAGCAGATGGCGATACTTCTTGGACATCAAGGCACCACCTCCCCAGGCCGCGTCCACGTGCATCCACATGTTGTACTTCTTGCACAGCTCCGAAATTCCAGTCAGGTCATCGAAGGCTCCAAGAACAGTGGTTCCAGCAGTGGCCGAGACCATCAGGGGCTGCCAGTTGTTCTCCAGACAGTGCTTCACCTGCTCCTCCAGATCGCTCAGCCGCATCTTTCCCACCTCGTTGGTGGCTATCTTGCGCACATGCTCGCTGCCGAATCCCATGAACATGGCCAACTTCTCCACGGAATAATGGGCATCCTCCGAGGTGAAAATGATCAGGGGTTTCGCGTTGAAGAGGCCGTTTTTCTGCAGATTCAAGTGGTAAAATGTTGAAATTAATAAATATTAAATTACATCTCTTTTTATATAAAGATATATCTCTATAATTTCCTTAGTCTTATATATATAAATCTCATGTCACGATGTTTGTCCGCGATGGACTCCTAAACTACTTAACCGATTTTAAATTAAATTGACACACCGTGAGCAGTCTGGTCCAACTTGAGAGATAGGATAGCTTAGATCTTTAATTATAGTCGCAATTTTATTTTATTGCTAATTATTTGTTTATAATTAATTGAAAGTCACAATTATCTGGTAACTCCAAAAGAATCTAATAGATGTCGATACTTTTCGATTAGATTGAGTAAGTAAACAATAGATGGCACTGCTATGAACAATTTTGATAGAAAATACGTAGATTCAAAATTCTATAGATATAAAAAATATACATGTAGGTATTGTCACATAATTATAATAATAAATTAAAATGCCGCTGAAAAAATCTAATCCGTCCGTGCTTTTCTCGTGGGCAACTATATGTTGCATGTTCACGTGTTGGAAAACCGTCAAGTCTATTTGTGTTAGCTAAAGACAGGTTAACCAGAAATATTGTACACCGATTAGTGCTAAATTAAATTTAAATTGAAAATATTTATAGTTTAAAATAATAAATATTAGAGACTTAAGACTATCTACCTTACATACCGTTCTTCTTAAATTGTATACTTCAATGTAATATAACAATAACTTTAGCTACAGCAACGCGTGGCCGGGTCTGCTAGTATATTATAATCCTTTCATTAAATTGCTTCAAAAAATTTAAGAATGTTTTATAACATTTTTTTTTAATCTACACTACGAATTGTTTTACCACAAACGTTTATAGTACTTTTTGTTCACTTTTGTTAAATCACCACTTGTTGTACAATTAAAACATATATTGTTTTGATTTTGGCATTATATCTTTGGGAACTTTCGGTTTCACTTGCTTATATCACAGGCATGCCTAATGGTTTGGCCAGCAGTGTGGCGCCAGTCACTCAAGAGTAAGTGGATTGCGGACTTCCGTGTGGATTGCGGACTTGGCGGTAAACCACTTGGCTTCGATCGGGCACTCACCTTGGACTCGGGCGCGTATTTGTAGCGGGCGCAGCTGATTGCATAACCGTTGGCTATCGAACCGCCAGGACAGAAGATGCCATCGCCCTGTCCACCGTTCGGAAATCCCACGATACGCCTCATCTCACCCAGCACCTGCTCCTCCATGAGCGTGAACAACGGAGCCACCTCGTACGTATACACACTGGGATTGAGGGCATCGGTCAGCCACTGACCCACCAGGGCATACGGATCCACTCCCGAGTACAGCTGATTGATGAAGTACGGATGTCCTGTCTTGACCGAAAACCGAATCGTTTCCCTCAGCAGCTCGCGCAGCTTGTCCTGCGTTTCACCCTTCTCCCGCAACTGGAAATCGAAGAGCTGACGCAGCTCCGCTGGCTCGTGCCATTCGACCACCTTCGAGGATCGATTGGTGCCCTGGAAGACGGCCAGCTTGATGATCTCGTCCACGCAGGCACGGATGAATCCCTCAAACTCGGCCGCCGGATGGCTGGCCACAAAGCTGGACAGGTCAGCCTGCTCCTGCGTGACATTGTTATTATTATTATTATTGCTGGTGGCCAACATTTTGGTGGCCGTCTCGAATGCAACTGAGGCGGAGGTGGTATCACTCGATGACGACGTGGTCGCCACCAATGTGGCCGCTGTCAATGGGTTAACGCTTGCCAAATCATCGCCGCTCGTCGTACTGTAGGGCTTAAATATAGATTCCTTGAAGTGATGTGTGGGAAAGTTCTCGCTGGCCAGCATTTTGTTGGCTCTTGACTGATGTTTATACTGTAAAAGACTTGGCTAACGTTGCTGCTGCTGCTGCTGTTTGCTGTTTGCGGCTGTTGCTGGTGTGCAATAGATGTTGCTGCTGTTGTTTTTTGGTCCTGTTGCTGCTGCTGCTGCTGCTGCTACTGCTGCTGCACTTGACAATGATTCTGAATGATCTGCGGGCGAACTGAATGAACGGGCGCTGTTGTTGGCGCTTTTATAAAAGCTCGTCGACTTCCACAATTCAGAATCCGACACCGAATGCCGCTTACATAAAGACAATGCCGCTCGAGAGCCGAGCAATTTCCGATCTCATCGGGTCGGCTCGTGGATTCCGGTTCTGAATCGAAACCCGGGCGAAAGTACCTGCTGCCCGCTGGTGGTGCAGACCACTTTGGAGGGATTTCCCTGGGCCACTCATCCCAGAACCATCCCAATCCAAATCGCTGTTGGAGAAGGGCGAGATATTGCAGGTAATTGGCTAGCTGGCTAATTGATATGCTCATGTAATACAATTATGTAGGAATACACCCGATGTAATTGCCGCGAGATGGTGATTATGCGCAGAGGTCTCTCCTCCGGCAATTTTCCGCGGGGTTTCTCTCTCATTAGATGCAATCAAATGAATTAAATGCTAATTCATTGAATAATTCTTTGGCCAATTGTTGTGCAAATTGCGCAACTGAAACGTGATATCGGGAAAATGAGAGATAAGTTGGTGTAGGTCGTCTAGCTTCCGATAATTGCTACCTTTGTTAAGTTGGTCAAGTTGAAAGAAAAACGAAAGTCATACGAATTACCATTTTGTTTTACATCTCTTACGACGATCTTAACCGATCTCGGGCAATGGCCTTGTCTATAATCTGTAACCCCTATAAATAAAAGTGCACATTCAGCGGAAAGTTCCCAAATGTCTGCAATGATATATTAAAATGTTCTCATAGGATACAATTGGACGTATGAAAGATTGCTCAACCGATTTGTTTTCGTTCCAATATAATAAACTCAGAGAGATTCCTTTAATGCATTAATGACGTTTTCAATGGTTTATTCACCTTGGCAACACCAACCCCACCGATCCGAAAATTAAATCTTCGGTACTTTACCGAACCCAAGATAAAAATCGGTTCGTTTAAGTGACATGACACATCGTTTCGGGAGGTGTTCGGCAAATGGGGGAACTTATTGGATGCACCCATAACATTGCCAATAACTTTGGATGAGGGGCTGGACACACGTATTCGCGAGAGAATACGAAAATAATTCTGAAACCAGTTTCAGTGCGCAGCCCAAAATTTCCGGAAGCATTTTTTCAACGATCATGACGTTAGAAAAGCGAAAGTCAAGTCGTTCCAACGTGTTCAGCACATGTATTGTGTATTTCCAATTTAATTGCACCTAATGCACTGTCACAACAATTAGCGAGCGTCTAGTTTTTTCGCTCCAGTTTTTCTTTCCTACCGAAACTAATTAGCAATTTATGTTAATGATGGCTACGATTATGCTGGATATAGTGAGTGTGCCAGGTGTTGCAGTCGGATGTTAATTAATAGCACAAAATCTGAGGTGCTGTGGCTTGTTCAAGGCCACCGGGCCTATAAAGAATACCATGAAGTGTAGGAAATCGGTGAATCGGTCAAGAAAGAACGTCTGCGCTCAAAAAGCCTTGGAATCACCAACAATTTAAAACCAATTGTATGAACACAAAGTAGTATTAATGGATATACTATGAATATACGTATCTATTCACCGCAAATTAATTACATTTATTAAAACACATTGCCAACTGTCTAACAATAGGGTTATATTTTATTGTTTTACGTTCTACGATCAATACAATGTTCTCGATATTTACAAATATTTATAATAATAATTATATAATAACATAATTTCTTTTTCGCATTTGTTGTTGGGTTTTTGTCTGTTTGCATTCGCGTGTATGTATATGCTGTGCTTCTTGTGTAAATGAGAGTGTACTTTGTTTTGTTTTATGAGTTTCGAATAATAAAATTCATCAGATCCAACTCGGTCCATATTTGCATTTATGTATGCCAACTAGAATACGTTACTGTACCTACGTATATATATATATATGTATCTCACGTTCCGTTCATATATATCTGCACGCGGGCAGTACTCTCAACTTTGAATCTTACGTAGATCATACTCGTAGTTTTGTTTTTGTCCTATCACATCGCCAGGCAATTTAAATTATTCTTGGTTTGTACTTGGGTAAAGAAACATCGTACCTTTATCTAAACGAAATCAAATTGTTTGAAATCTTTTTAAAAGGAAGAAGTGGTGCTTGTTTACTCACCTGGATTGCTATAGAAGTTAGCGCTTAGACTAGGTTTTGGTGGAAGTTTGGGTGTGCCCTCGAGGCTCGTGGCAATCGGAAAAAACTCCTTTGGGGACGAGCGCGATTGCGTCGGATTCGAATGGTGCTGGTGATGGTGGTGCGGCAGATGTGGGCCCTGCTGGTGTTGCGAGTAGATCGCCGGATGCGTCTGCTGCTGCTGCCGCAATCGCTGTTGGTGGGCATAGCTGCTCGACGTGCTCTCCACCGTATGGCTGGGAATGATCGGGGACATGGACGCGGTGTCGGCAGGTGTCAGCGGTGATGTGGTCGTCGAGGAGCTCAAAGGTGGCGAGATCGATGGCGGTGGCTGTTCGTCCGGGGCCACCGCCTGCGAGACCGTCACAAGCGTAGTGCCAATGGCCTGCTCCGGTTGCTGTGTATTTGCCGCTGTCCGCTTCTCGATCGCCGAGTTGCGGCGTATCATAATACTGCTGGTGTTGGGCAGGAGCAGACTGCTCTTGCCCACAAACTCCTTGCTTTTGCCGTGACTGTGCCGCAAGTAACTCACGCCCATGGAATTGTTGAGCCGTGGCGGTATCGGCGGCGCACTAAGTTCGCTATCACGCGGGGGCAACTGCAAGGATAATTAAAGTATTAGTTATCATTCGAAAATAGGAACAACAAATCCCAATAAAACTATCTGCTGCTATGGAAACTTACTGTGGGTGCGTCTGGCGCTTGTCGCTTTTGCGCCATGTCTGCACAGCTTTCCGTGCGCTCCTTGCGTCGCGGAGGCAGTGGCGGCGGCACTCCTCTGTATTCCAGGTTGGAGGGGGTCGGTACGTTAACGTGCGGCGAAATGGGCACTGCTCCCGGCTGTCCCTGATGGGCGCTATTGTAGTAAAAGCCGCCCGTTCGCGGACTGACCTCCTCCCCGGACACAACAGCTCCAGTCGTCCCCGAATACATACTATGCGTTGGGCTGTACTGCACATGGAATGGTGATCGATTGCCGGTTTCGTGGCGCGGACTAACCACTAGCTTGGGCAGCGGCGAGAGCGGCGCATCTGGGTCCGACATACCCAACGCAAAGGGATTGCTATCCGGCAGCGACTGCGGTGGAAGATGCTCCGGCAGTCCGGCTGGACTGAACACGTCCGTCATAGCCGCATTGGCATTGGCCCAGACATGAACGCCCGGCTTCCTTGGGAGGTGTGGCGCCGGCACCGAAACCTCCCCGTTGTTCTGATCGGCCCGAGTGTGCTGCGGTGTTCCGCTCCAGCTGCTGGTATTCCTTTCGGGTATAATGACAGAGGCGAAAACGGAGAACGCGTGCGGATTGTGCTGTGGGCTTTGTTCGCCGGCAAGTGTTCCAGGTCCAGCATTGGAGGTCGCCGGCGGTTCCATTGTGCTGGCCGAATGCACCGACGGCGCTGCCACTGTCGCTATTGTGGCCGCCGTCGACGATGCTGCCGCTGCGGCTGACGATGTGCTGTTCGACACCTTGTTGCTGCTGTTCGTCTGATTCTGACGACGCGGCTTGATGCCCGGCGATTTAAGCGGAATGTGCGGCCATTTGCGAGGCTGAAAAGTGAAATGACAAGTAGTTTATATAAAGTCGTGAATTATTTAAATTTAAACAAGTACTCACAAATTTGGGCACCGTCTTGCAGTTCCTTGGCTCAATGCGCATGCTCTCGTTATAAAGATAGTCGGACATCTGTTTGTCGGACAGCCCGTTAAACGGATCCAGTTGCTCAAAGAACTGTCGAATGGTAGGTTCCTCGTTGAGGCAGTATGGCTGGTTCTGGTACTGTTGAATTTCGCCAATGATCTCGGCCACTTTCCGTCGCTTCGAGAAGTTAATGAGCTCCGTGTTGGCCAGCAGATCTGGATTGCCCTCCTCCAAGTGGAGTATGTTGGTCAGGTAGCGACCGAAAAATGGCACACAAGGCGGATTGATAGATCGCAATCGTTCCTGATACTTTTTAAGGTGATCGTCACTGAGCTCGCGGCATTCGTCCAAGAACTTTCGGTAGCGTTCTGGCAATCCCTGGAATGTCAGCTTCAGTCGAAACACCGATGCCGTGCCCATGGCCGCGACAATCGAGAGGATCCCATTGAAATTGTTTAGCTCCAGCATCACCATCATCACCTCGATGGCCCTTTGCATGATCGCTAACCGCTCCTCGTAGTTCTCCGCCTCAGTGATGGATTTCTCAATCCAGCGGGTCACGTTGGTGGTGTGTTTCATTATTTTTAGCAAATTTGGGCTCTTAACCTCCTTGTCCTTCTTCGTCCAGGGCGAACCGACGAGCTCCGATGGCTTCACATTCTTGTACATCTCGAACTCCAGCAGGGTGAGCTGGCGCGCCAGTTCCAGAGGATGCAGGGTGAGGAGCGTAATCTCATCGTTGGGGACATTGAGGTGATGCTCAATGGGCGGCGGATCGTGACCATAGGCGTATACAATCTTCTTATTGCTTGTCTCCTGTTCGTTCTGTAAAAAACAAAATCAAGAAAATCAATAAATGTATACCATTAAGTAAATGGATGTGCACTTACCTTTCTCTTAACAATCTTCAGCACGGAGAGCACCCATTTGCGCATCGATTTGCCATTCACGCCATTCAAAAAGTTGTTCAGCTTTTCCAGCAGCATTGGATCCTTCTCGAAGTCATAGAAATGGTGATCCACCCAATGGCGAAGCACGTTAAGCACTCGAAACTGCACAGGTTGCACGTACTCCTTGCGATATCGCTTCCAGTCTTCGCGATGCGTGTTCTTGTGCTCCTTGTCGCCGCCGCCGATTCCTCCCGCTCCTGTAGCACCGGTGTCCTGGTAAACCAAACTAGGATCGGGTATGTTGAAGCGCTCCAACAGCAGCTGCAACAGTTGCTGGGGCGAGCAGAAGTAGCGATATGTGGTGAGGAAGGTGCGCACGAATGTCGGATCGGCGTAAATGTGATAGGTGAGGCGCTCGATCAGTTTGCAGAGCGTGGCTCCCTTGATCATCGGCACTCCGGCGCTTTCGCGCTCCTCCAGAACGATATTGTCAACGCTGTCCGGCACCGCAAACTTGTAGATCTCCGGGCTGGGCATACGCAGCGGATGCTTCCGCTCTATGTCTTGTAATATGCTGTCCAAATGTCGGTCCAACATCGACTTTGTGTTCACCATCAGCAGGTCTGCCATCCAATCGTTTTTGTGCTGTGCATTTTTAGCTGTCAGCACAATTGCCGGCTGCATCCTGGGTACCAGCTCGAAGCTGTTCTTCAGATCATCGCTGTCCGGTCGGTCGTTGATGTCCACACGTCTCATGAAGAACTTCTCCTTCAGCCTGTAGTCGTGGGCCGTCGCTCCCGCTGAAGGCGTTTGCTTCTTTGGCTTGCACAGCACCATGAGTCCGTCGAACAGAAAGACCTTGCGTTCGCTCCAGATTCGTTTGCCAGATCCCAGTTTGCTTAGCGAGTCCTCTATAAATTTAAAGAGGGATATAAATTAAAGTAAGAAGCTATCTTTTCTTAGGTTTTCGAATATTAAATTATTCTTGAATGTACTTTGCATACATACAATTTTTTGTTCCAATATTTCGTAAGTTCTTAAATGGCTCACTAACTTACCGCGAATAAATTCATTGCAGTTCTGGCCCACGTCCTTGTCCTCCCAGTGCTCGACCTTCATTTGGAGCTCCCGCGTTCGCTCAATCGCCAGCTGGCGGCGCACTCGACCGCTGACGGGTACCAGCCGCTCCTTGGAAAGACCTGCTAGAACCCTCTCGAGATCGCAGTGGAGTGGATGCAGCAGGCCCTGGACCGATACGAAGCTCTCGATGTCGTCCTGCGACGAGCTGAGATCCTTGAGATGCTTAATGTAGTCGAAGTAGAAGAACGCATGGCAAATGGGCACCAGAAGCAGCTTGGGCAGATAGTATTTAACGGCATCCCGGAAGCCGTGACCAGCTGTGGTCAAGGATGCTGCCTAAAAGGAAAACACAGCAATTAAAACGGATTTACTAACATGAACAGAAGGTATTTTACCTCTGGCTTGGACAAAAGATTGCTGAGTGCGTCCCGCGAGGCCTGCGAGGTCACATCGTGAGCGTACTTCTTGTACACATCGAACTCCTCGGCCTCGGCCAATTCCTCGAAGCAACTGCCCACACAGGGTGCACTCTGCTCCTGGGACATCTCAATCACATCCTCCAGGGAGCCAAGCAGCGTCACCGTCACTTCATAAATGTCCATGATATTGGAGAATATCGGCTCTAGCTCCCTGGGATCCGAGACGATCTTCACCAGCTCCTCGCGAAAAACGCGTATGATCATGTGCAGGTCGCGCTGGTACTGCTTCTCATCGTGGATCAGCTCCTTTACCGTCTCTTCGTAGGTGGCACTTGCCCGCTGCGCGGGTAGCGACAAGGGGCTGGGCAGGATGTGCGCCTCGCTTTGGTTGAGCATCTCCATTAGCACGCCGTCGGCGTTCATCACCACCTCGATGTCCTCCTTGGTGATCTCGCAGTGGGCGATCTTGATCACGTAGTCGCCGGCCATCTTGAGGATGTCCGCGGAGATGTGCTCGAGCACGGCTACCAAAAACGCGGAAACGGAGCTGTCGATCTTGTACTGCAGCACATCCTTCTGGAGCAGCGTGTGCACCCGTTCCGTCGGCAGAACCGACTTGCGTTTCTTCGAGTTGATCACCTCCTTGGCCTCGTTGAGGGCCCACTGATCGAGAGGCGCCGGAAAGGACTTGTTCACCTTCTCCTCCACGTCCTGAACGGAATGGGGCAGCGGCTTTGCACACAGCATGGCCAGCAGTCGAAGACAGAGCTTCTTCCACGTACAAAAGAGCGTCCTCCTTGGCGGTGACCCGTGGATGCACTTGCTCCAGCACCTTCTTCAGCGAGGGCGTGAACAGACCGCGCCAACGGGCTGCATTCTCGCATTTGGTAAAATCGTAGCCATCGCAATCCTGCGGCCCGGCCACGCCCCCACCTCCCCCTCGTCCCCCGATGCCAGAACCAGCGCCACCGCCATGGGAGCCTCCGCCTACTCCTCTGCCAGCCCCGCCTCCGCCACTACCAAGACCGATCCCGCCCCCGTAGCTAATGGTGTGCGGCCCGGAGAACATTTCCTTGCGCCGTGGACAAGTGGAGCACCTTCGTTGGCCGCCTTGTCTCCGCCTCCCCCGCCCGTTGTTTGTATTTGTTTTCGAGCGACGAATGGAACGGAAACCTGGGCGCACAGCCGGATCACCCGGGCGAGCGTCGCATTGCAGTCACACGCACACACACTCGCACGCACGCACACTCAATTCGCGTTTCTTTTCCTGCCTTTTTTTCCGTTCAGCAGCCGTTCGTTTGCGATTTGCGTTTGTTGAAGCACTTGTTTTCAGAATATGTATCTTCAATAGTTTTTTTCTGCAAATTCTGCTTTCAATGGCGTTAAGTTGGCTGCGCTAGCTACAGCGGCAGTGTTGATAAGCGCTCGGTGGAGGGTCAATAATGTAACGGCAGTGAATGGCATTTTAGCGGGAAAGGAAGAAGTTTGAAATTGAAATTGTGGCTGTTGTTTTTTAAAAGTAAAAACATGTGAAAAAGGCGAATCATTATATAAATTTAGTAAATATAGAAATAAGGCTTCTAATCCCCTTTTACATTAAAAACCGCAAAAACATAAATAAAACTATGGGTGTTTTTGTTTGTTTTTCTTCTTAGAACAAATTTTAAACAAAATATTAGTCGAATTTTTTGCATGGAAGAAACATTAATGTTCATTAATGCATGAAATATAATTGATGAATAATAATATTAATTTATATCTAATTTTCTTTCCAAACAATGCTTTCAATCCACTCCACGTAGTTAAAGACATTAGTGTACTTTGTTCTTGGATGTTCGGAACCACACACTCCGCCACTTGATACAATCCCAAATACTTGACCCAAGCAACTGCCCCACTTTGGATGCCACTTGGCCAGTGGTCCTCCGGAATCTCCGTGGCAGGCGTCGCTTATGTTGTTCACTCCGCCGGCGCAAATGTGCATTTTTTTGTTTGCCTTGGAACAGCCTGAAATGTCCAGGACCCGTACTTCTGCCTTTTGTAGCTCATCAGGCAGCTTTTTGGAACTGTCTTTCAGATATCCCCATCCGGAAACGGTTAGCGTTTCGTGATCCGCAACATCCGATGTCGCCAGGCAGGCTGGTTTTATTTTCTCATTAAAGACAATCGTTTCATTTAGCTCGAGTAGAGCTATATCATTATTTTCTGTCGTAACATTGTAATCGGGATGATTTATGTCTCTAATGATTTTATAAACACGACCATCATTTTTATTGCGAGCACCCAGAGAAACAAAGAAATCCCTAAAAAAAATGTATTTTACTAGGTGTGTTCAAAATTGTGTTTTAAATATAAATATTTGTTATGAAAAATACAAAGTCACCTTACTTTTAAATCCCACCTCGCATATATCAAATTTTGATCACTAAGATCAAAAACTTACGGATCTTCATTTCTAAGCCGGATGCAATGAGCTGCAGTGAGAACAAATTTTATATGAATCACGGTCCCGCCGCAAATCCATTCTGGAGCATCCTTCGTATTACCCTTGACTCTTTTCCCAATTACAGCCATGTATTGCTGCTCGTTACGGGAAGTCCAGTTTCCGTTGAAAATAAGTAATTCCGATGGGCAAAAAGTCTTGTCGTTGGAATAATCAAAACATGCTATGGTTCGTATTTAAGTAGGTTACTATTTTAAGCTTAGTACATAATACAAACCACTTTCCGATTGACTTTTATAATGGGGTATTGAAGGACGCCTGCAGCAAACTAAACCATTGGCACAGTACGGAATCTTTTTCAGCTTCTTAGCGGACAAACAACGATGATAAGGAATACAGTCACCGCCATCGCACTCTGTTGCTTGAGAAAACACCTCAGCACTAGTCAATAAAACCGCAAATATATATTTTACAAACATTTCACTCATTCGAAAGCTTTTTGAACAGTCTAGGAAATTTGCGAATCAGAAATGCATGTCCGATTTCAACGATTCGCGTTCTGAAACTAATTTAACCTTATGACAATTTTCTTGCAAAATCAGCAGACACTCCTGTGTACCCAAGCAATTAAATCAATTGAGCATATAAAACCAGTTGCAATAGCTCTGCTGGAAATAAAACGATATTGAAAATTATCAGGATGGGTAAGCTGAAAAGAATTCTGCTGACAAGATGTTTTTATTTGTTAAGGAAAAGGAATTTGTATATTATCTTTAGTAGTACAAAAGTCAAACAAGTAAGATCTCTTTTGGTTTGTTGTTAAATTTTCGGTGAACAAAAATCTGAGATCCCCAAAATGTCTTTACATTCGGTGCCCGCTGCTTCCAATCGATCAAGCTTAGTATTGGATGCGGAGACCATAGAGCAGTTACGGAATAAGTGGCGCGAATATATTATGAGCCAATCCAAGTCGCCCATTGAATTGCAGCTGGCCAAAGCTCGAGAAGATCGAGCTCTCGAGTTGGCCAGGAGCAAACGGAAGGCAGCCTTGGAACTAAAGAAATCCATTCCGAAAAGCTGTCGCCCCCTCACAGATCTTTACAACTCGCCGCGTACCACCAGTCGGATGAAGCAAGTTCTCGAGAAACGAATGCGTCCCTTCCAAAATGAAGAGCCCAAGTCGCAATACAATCTGTGTCCGAGATGTGGTCCTGTAAAAAATTCCATTATTAATCACAAGAACGCCGAACAGCGACTCAAGTTGCTGTTGGAACAACATCCCAGCTTACGTCCTCCAAAAATCCAATGGAAATCAAAGAGAAATTTCTGCACGCTTGGAATTTAAAAACAACAAAAACACATTACACTGTTGCATAGTTATTCTTAAGCTCATGAAATCTTTAAATATAATCAATTAGTATATTTATGTGGATTAAGTTAAGACTATCTTTCCAGTAGCGTGCCGCGTTGCTTTTTCGAAGGAGGAGGCGCATCTTCTGCTTTGCTTTTGATTCCCACATCGCTGAGTTTTCCGCCTTTACGCTGCAGTTGCTTTTCGATGATCCTTGCATTGTTCGCATAGCTGTCGGCAATCTCGCGCTGTTTAATAGATAAAATGGTAAATTAGAAGAATGATAAATGGATAACTTGATCAATTCACATATATAAATTTAAGCTGATTTTCTGCACTGGTTACTAACAATTTCGGCTCTCAAACTTACCGCCTCTATTTCGTCCTCCTCCTCATCAATAGTAGACACCGTGACCGAGCTAAACTTGCCCATGTTCTTGGTGTGCCTGGTAACCATCACCTTCTTACCACTTGCATCCACTATTCCCGAATCGTCAGCTCCTGTGGATGATGCTGGCTTGGCAGCCGGGGTCTTTGCACTGCCCTTAGCCTCAGAGTTGAGGAGTTGGGTGAGAGAGCTCTCGCCTTTGTTGCGGATCAGAGCATTGGACATGATGAAGGTCACCTGGGAGTCGGGACTGTGGCGGTAGTAAAGTGGCAAATTGCAGCTACGGCACTAGAGAAAATCAGCCAATTATAAAGGGTTTAATGAGAATAATACTAGAAGATTGTTTACTTTATAGCGATACTGCTTTTCTATTGCATTCCCCCTGCTCTTTCGCTTTATGTAAATCATTTTTGGTGTCGGGTTGTAGGTAAGTTTGTTAGCATGGTCGTTGGCGTTTATCACCCGGGCATTGTCCAACTCGCGAAGGGGCAACTGATCCAGGGTGCAGTCTTTAATAAAGGGGTTTAAATTGATAAGCAAAAACTTCATTTTTGAGTATTTGAGCCAATCTTACCCAGAATCAAAGCCATCTTGTTGCATAGGCAATAGTAAATGTTCAGCGGCTTCTCCTCATTGTACTCCTCCTGATCCTTGGTATCGGAGCAGACGATACTACGCGATACTACTTTGGGCATGGTTACAAACTGATTTTAGCTTTGTTAAATTACTTTCCCTGTATTAAATTAAGATTTTTTCGATTTCAAAAAACTATGAAAATGTAAATAAACACACAGTATGACCAGATAACAGAAAATATCGATTACCAATCGAATAATATGCTTTTATTCGATAAGTGCGGCTTATCGGTTCAGGAATTGGATAGAAACATGTGTGATAACAACAAACCGTCTGTTCAGGAAATATCCAGACTTTGCCTCGAAAAATTCGAATCCTTGCCGAAGACAGGGAAACCCACAGCTAATCAATGGACGATTTTAGCGGGAATTGTAGAGTTCAACCGGAAAACGGAGAGCAGTCAACTGGTGGCTCTTGGAAGCGGAACCAAGTGCATTGGACACTCCAAACTTTGTTCCAGAGGCTTCATTTTAAACGATTCACATGCAGAGGTTTTAGCTAGACGTGCCTTTCTTCGCTTTCTCTACCAGGAACTGAAGCAGGAGAGGATCTTCCATTGGAATAGCCAATTAAATTCCTATGAACTAGATGATCAAGTGGAATTCCACTTTTTGAGCACTCAAACTCCTTGCGGAGATGCTTGTATCCTGGATGAAGAGGAACCGGAGAAGAAGGCTAAACGCAAGCGACTGGATGAGGAATCCGAGATGGTTTATACAGGCGCCAAGTTGATAGGTGATCTAGACGAGGATCCCATGCAGCAAACGCCTGGAGTGCTGCGAACCAAGCCAGGACGTGGAGAACGCACCCTGTCCATGTCCTGTAGTGATAAGATAGCGCGATGGAATGTACTGGGAGTGCAGGGTGCCCTACTCGACTCTGTGATCTCCAAACCCGTATATTTCACCAGTCTAAACTTTTGTTGTGATGATGCCCAGTTGGAATCCTTAGAGAGAGCCATCTTCAAACGCTGGGAAGGCAAGTCCTTTGAGCATGAGCGCTACCAGCCCCAAAAACCACACATTCGCATCGATTCTGAGATCAAATTTGAGTTCTCCCAACGCTCTGATTGGCAGCCATCGCCCAATGGCTTGGTTTGGTCGCTTTTGCCAGAGGAATTAAGGTGTGTTCTCCAGAATCTTTATATTAAATATATATTATAACATTAATTTGTTTGCAGGCCGTACGAAATTTCTGTAAATGGAAAGCGACAGGGAGTGACTAAGAAAAAAATAGACACTCCGCACGCTGCTTTAGCAGTCAGCAAATATAAACTGTTCCTTTCTTTCTTGGATCTAATAAAAACCAATCCAAAGCTCTGTGAAAAGTTTGATCAAGACACTTATAAGTTTGATGGTACCACATATGCCTCCTGTAAAGACTTAGCTGCAGATTACCAGCAGGCTTGGCGTCAATTGAAGGAGAAATACTTTCTTCAATGGACCAAAAAACCTCATGAACTGTTAACATTTTGTAAAGAACCCAATAAATGACTAGAAAATCGAATCTGGCAAAGAAGGCAATGGGGACCTTAAGAAGCGGAGGTAAAATGAGATATTCGCAGTCTTTACCAATCGTTAAATCATTGATACAATCCTGCAAACAATCCCTTTCAGCAAAGAATCAAAATACACCTGGTTTATCATATGCAACATTTAAGCGTGTTATATTTAGTTTATAATACCATAATAACATAAATCTAATTGTCATTTTGCAAACGTTTAACAAACAAACAAACGAACAGGCGTACATTTACAATTAAAGCTACAGCTACACATCCACTGATGCGAATACGATGCGGATACGGATGCACTATAGGAGTTATGCATGCATGCTGGGAATACGAACTAAAGACGAGAATTGAACAGTGGGATGTGCCGGTCCAGCTCGAGTCGTACGGATGTGATGTGTGGGTGCGAGAACAGCTAATCATACGACTCGAATCCGTTGACTATCCAAGGAGCGATGACCATTATCCTCGAGGCCACCCTTAATGGCCACCGATTTCGCGCAGCTCACGCTTGCCGAGCGGCAACGGAGGACGGAAGTTGTTGATGACCTTGCCGTTGAACTCGTTGCAGGGACACTCCTCCTTCACGTCGTAGGCGTTGAGGTTGCGCATGGCGTTCAGCTGGTCGTCGGACACCTCGATGGGCGTCTTGAAAACGATCCAGATAACCGACTCGGAGCAGGGCGGCGTGGTCAGGGAGCCCTCGTACGTCCAGTAGGTGTGCACGTCCGGCAGCAGCTGGCCGGGATCGCAGCCCTGCGGCAGAGTGACGCGATCGCCCTTGTGCAGGACGAACTGCAGCAGGCTGCTCACCTTGTCCAGCTCGGCATGGTGATTTCCGGCCTGCAGGAACACGCCCAGCACAGCCAGGCCATCGGGAGCGGCTGCCGCCTCGCCGAAGGACTTGTACTTGGTGGTGTTCCAGTGCACCAGGTGCAGCTCGCCGGCGTAGGACACTCCGTCGACCGTGTGCTCGGATCCCTTGGAGTCCGTGCAGCCCCAGTGGCAGTGGAACTGCTCCAGCTTGAAGATCTGATTGCCTAGGGGTCCACCAGTCAGCTCGGACTCGGCGCCGTTCACATCCACGCGCCAGCAGTAGCCTATTCAAATAATATAATTGATTAATACAAAGGGTAAAGGTAAAAGTAATTAGGTATATTGGGGTTCAAAATTCAGCTTGGCGTGAATTCTATATTTTTTTGAAATTCAATTTTGGGTTAAAAATAAAAAGAAACCAGATTAAAAAAGTCAAAGGAGAATGCTGTTTATTTTGAAATCAACAATTAACCTTGGATTAATGAACAAAATGCCCTGCTGCTTTAATTGTTCCCTAGAAACCTTTTAGTTTTATGGATATCTTACCAGGATTGACCAAGCTCTTAGTGTGCTCCGGCACATACTTCCACTTGAGCGGAGAAACCTTCAAGTCACTGCCCTTCTTCGCACTGGAAGGCGTGATGTCCACGGGCGACTGGCGATGTCCCGATGCCTGAGGATAGTCCTTGGCCCAGTGGGCGGGTCCTGAAAGAGGAACATTGAAAGGAAGGGGTAAGTAAACATCTACTTAAGTCATTAGGCATTTGTTCTCTCAAATTAACCAGCTCAAATACGAGCTAATCCGTCGATAGGAAACAATAAATCAAGTAAAATCAATTCAGTCAAGTATTCCTTCTGCGATAATTAAGGGTCATTAGGCTAGGCAGTCAAATAGTGATGGAAATGTTTAATGAAACCACAGGAAAGTCGACGATTAATAAAACCATATCCAATAATAACCTTTTAATTCGTTTCCTAAGAAATAATCCATTAGTACTTGAAAAAAGTTATCTTGTAAAATATTTTATTAATTGAGTAAAGTTTTAACATAATAATAAAATAAAAAGAAGGATTTACCAACAGCTAAGCAAAATCCATTTGAATTTAATCTTAAGAACACGATAAAGATTAAAATTATAGCAGGAAATATACTTTTATTGGCCGAAAGCTTTGTCTTGACAGTTTATTTATGAAAATGCCTTTCATAATCAAAGTTTTAAACATTCTTATGGCTGGATATAAACTGTATATATTTACTGAAGCATTGACTTAGCCTCTTATTTATGAATATGTCGCCAGCCTTAGCGTTTGCTCAACTGGCAGTCATAATATTTGCATAGACTTTTATCTGACCAACCGGCTGAGGCAATACAAGTATTTGCTCTTCGCCGTGTTTGCTGCATTTGCGATTTATATGCGTGTATTCGTATTGTTTTTAATTACTGGCGGTGGTGTGCAAAAGCCAGGGCAAATGTTGACACAGAGAACCACGTCACGTGCCAGTAAAATCACTCCGAAGACCGACCGCAGGCAAAAGTCATGTGATAGGATGGGATCGCTGCAGACGCACGCTCCAGATAAACCGCAAAATTGTGGCCCGACTTCGAGGTGGGGCATTTGTTTGTCTAAACTAGACCAACAGAAAATTAGTAATAGATTCCCCAGTGCAGTGGCTGTTTCGTAACCCGACAATGGTTCTTATCTAACCCGAAGACACCGTGCAAAGCCTCATTTGTCATTTGATAGATCGCCAAGCTCAAGGTGTCAACTGCTTTGTAGCCTTCGATATTTATTTCCCTGCTTCCCAAAGGCCTCAATAAAATTGATAGGGAATAAAAAAGTCAGGTGAAATGCATTTATCAAAGCCGAAATCAAGTTCTTTATTCGCCATCTAGGTGCAAACAGTTTATGCATGTGACTACCGAAAAAGACAGCAAATCATTCAGCCAACATGTCGTATGAAAGTCACGTATACGCCGTGTTGGGCATACAAAGGCGCAAGTCCCCATGCACGATCCTTTCATAACTTAGCAGGCAAGTGCAAATTTCCGGCCATATTTAACACATTGCCTTTTATAATCAACAATCAACCGGTGAAGATATCGCCAAAGTCATAGGATATATATATAATATTTGCGGTAGCATTTGTTCATTTAAATGTCCAGGCTTATTTTCTTTGTTTACCTAACTAGTTTGCCGCCGACTTTGAGTATAAATACTTTAAGATCACCTGGCGACATTTTCGCAGAAAATGTGATAACAACGAGCAGACATTTTAAAAAAAGAGTAAAAGAAAGTAAACAAACACGGGGAAATGTCGCACTTGTTCAAACAACGCGAGATCGGAAATAACCAGTTTGCATTATGAGTCCCTTAAAGCTGATCAAACGAGCCTTTGTTATAGCTATTAAAGCACTTTACTAACTGCAAACTTATCTTGCACACGTTCCGCAAACAATTCATCATCGTTTTGCAATTAATTTCGCTTCAATTAGATGACAAGGAACGAAAGCCGCAGCGCAATTGTGACCATTAATGCTGTGATAAAATCCAAACGATTTTTTAATTGAATTACTGCAAATGAATTACCCGCAGCCATATCTCCGTAAATGCCCAGACGGAAAAACAAAAACCGATTCTGTCTGTTAGAACTTGTTCCGGAAACACTGAGATCGCCAAACAGAATCTATAATGAACTTTCGTTCGAATTCCCATAAATGTTTTTCCTGAGCACAGCAGTCTCGTTTTCCCCCAATCGCTAAAAACCCGATGAACCAGAGAACAAAAAATATATAAACAAGTTTTTAAACACAAAAAGCATTTCGGAACTTAAATAAAGAAAAAGCGCATTTAAAACCGGAGAGACAAATAAAGAAATGCTCGTTCCGACAGCCCGAAAAAGCTTTAAAAACACGACAAAATAAAAGTTAGCAATTAGCATTTACAAATTTACGAGCCAAGCGATTCTAAGCGAGCCTTGCATGATAATATCAACCGGGGATTCATCACAATTTGGAGGGAGGCATGAGTTTGTCGCGTGTTTTTCGTCTTCCCTGGGGCGATCGTAAGGAAGTATTTGCAAAAAAAAAAAAAAAAAATATAAAAAATTAAAACAGGTTTGGGGAAAGTATCCCCACCTTTGAATTACGAATTCTGAGTCAGCCGGCAGTATCCGATGATATATTAACTGCAGGCTCGGAACACTTGTCTCTGAACTATATTGCTTTTTATAGCCACTCAATTGACCGGGCTAAAAAGCAAGAACCCCTACTACTTATTTTTATCATCCACCTTGGCTGGAGGAAGCCCCAGAAATGCCCTCTACCCTTGGACTGCCTTGGTCTTCCAATCGACGTTTATCTAACGTCCACCCATCCAACCCTTCAATCACCTGCTAAAATTTTTGCCTGTAATTATTTGTTTGCATGTGAGAAATGGTGACAATAAACCGCGAATGGAATAATTGAATTGCCATAAAAGTTAAGGAAAACGAATGGGTACTTAACCGAAATGCATTTCCAACTAATGAAAAGCGGCGGCTAAAAGTTTTTTCAAGATGTTTAGTCACGTCGGAAATTCGAATACTTTAGAATGTTTTTTGCTGCTCTGAAATTATCTAACCCATTCCCATAAATATTGTATATATTTCTGAGCACATATAAAATCAGATTTCATTGGAATAATTTTATTAGCACGCCCAATAAAATGTCTGGATTGGCAAAATCAAGAGGAATATCTATATAGCTGGCCAAAAATAATATCAAACTGATGATTTTCCGCACGTTTCTCGCGTGAGAAATTGTTTTCGCAGTTCTATTTTTTGGGTTTTCCAACCCCCTAATAAATATTGAACTTAATGAAGGGGCCTGGATTTGATCCAACCATTAAAAGGAAAAAAAAAAATAAATAAATAGATAATGAACTTTGGTGCTGCCTTAGTTGCACCTGACTAATTTATTTCGCAAGTATCTAATAGAGAAATTGATACGTCACCCGAAGATTATCATTCTAGAACATTATAAATCCATCGATCATTATGACAATGATAATTTAATGATACAGACATTCATTTTGTTTGCTAAAAATAGGGTTTAAAATCGACAGATAAAGTTAAGTTTCAATGAAGATATAATCATTTGTGGTTTTTGGTTTGAACTGGTAGTTCTAAGAAAAGTGTTATGGAACTGGCGATTTAATCAGGCGACAGATAGGAAATCGGTTTTCTGGACATTTGATTGATCTTCGCGACTAAACACGCGAGTTGTAATCTTTAGTGGCCAGATGGAAGCGTGTCGCTTACCATTCAGACAGTTCTGACAGTTCTCAGGGGTTAGACACAACCTGTGCGAATTGATAAGGATGGCTATATAGC